TACCTTTCCAGTCTTACATAACACTCCTCTTCATGTACTCTACAGCTCAGCCACATATGTCTGATCTCCCCTTTGTCCCTTTACACTGGCTCTCCCCCATGCCTAGCATTTACTGTCTCCTCATGGCCACCTCTTCCCTTCAAAATTCAGCTTGAGAACTATCTTCTACATGAAGCTTCTCCTCACCTTCCCAAATGTTGGTTTTCTCTCTTAAGTCCTAAAATAAATCAGTCATGAGTTGAGGAATAAAGTATCTTTAATTGAGATAACAGGGTAGCAAACCTGCCACCCTGGGGGATATCCAATGGATTTCCCAACTCCAAGACCCATGCAAAATCTTCCTATACCTTTAGGAGGAGAAGAGGAAGATGCAGTATGAGGTAACAAGGCCTGGTCATGAGACTCCAATGGCCCTGAACAATCCAGGAAAGGAAAGTCACTTCATTCTAGCCATTTTGTCCTTCATGCCATGAATCCCAATGGGAGAGAGCAAGGACACCAGAAACTGAGATCCAGCTTGAGCTGGCTTTCCTTACAAGGCAAAACACCTGGGTAGGGGACCTAGGGTGTGGTTCAGCTCAACCGAATCAAGAGTAAATATCTTAAGAGTAGGAATGTAAGAACATTACTGAAATTCTGGCATTACAAGGATCATTATTTGTAATATGGAGTGGCAGTCCATATTACATTTGGTTGATGGAGTACTGGCCCAAGCTGAGACCTTTGCCCCTTACCCGAAAAAAAGATTTTGGGTCCCATTTGTCTAAGGTCTCTGGCATTCCCCTGAGGCCATAATCTCATCAATTGGCCTTTCACTGTGGCTATGCCCAGTCTCCATTACCCTTAACCTAGCCTGGCCCTCCATTGTCTTACCTCCTATGGCCCAGGACACTTCCTACTAGTCCTAGCTAGGCTTCATTTTCCCTTGGCCAAGTGGTCTAGGTCCCTGGCATTCTATTACCTCACAGTTCCTAAAGATTACTTGGCTACTTCTAGATCCCTCCCATGGTCTTTCTGTACATAAGGCCTATTTTGTCTCCATTAAGGTGCTCCGATTTTTACAATCTAGCCAATAGCTCACAGATGCTCAGATTCTTTAAGAGTCTGGCTAATATGGTGGATCTTTAATAATCCTTGTCTTTGGCTGAAAGAAGGCTTTGGTCAAATTCTTTTGGGCAGGACGCTCATGTCATGGTCTGGGGGTCCCAGCACCCCTAAACCTCTAAAGCTCATCAGTATCAACAATTTCTATCATTATATTAACAATTTTCTGTCACTCTGTTCCCCCTCACATTCATTTTGCACCTCTAGAAGTGAAGGTTCTTAGGCTGAGAAGGCCCATGGGGTTATCAGTGATTCCATAGAGTGTGGTGCTGTCTGTACAGACATTATCAAGGGCACCAACTTTTGTGAAGAAGTTGGGACAAGGCTGTCACCAACTCCAGTTGTGGACCAACTAGCACAATCATTTATTTCTTAATATTTTCAGTTGAGTGAAAAGGGGGATTCATTGCCCTGCAAATGGAAACTTTCCAATATTTGTTGTTTCTCATGTCAGCCTGAAATAAAGAATTCTAGCAAAAAGTAGCAAAAACTAGGACCTTTAATAGAGGGAAGGGGATTGTGATCCAGGGGGCCACCACATAGCACCAAGAGTATTGGAGTGCTCAAGAGGGGAAGGGGGATAGGGTTAAATACATTTCTCATAGGAAAGTCCATAGAGAAGGCTGGGGCAGTGTCAGGAGTGTCAGCTACAAGAAGGGTCAAGTGAAACAAGTTTTACAAAATAGAAGGGGGGTGGGAGGGGCTCCTTCTTTTCTTCAGTTGGTTTCCATAGCCCTCCTTTTAACTGGTTTCCATTGCCCCCAGGCAATTTGAAGCTCTGGGATTAGGCAAGGTCAGTTCATATTCATCTGCATTCAACACTCCCGAGGATAGCTGGGATGGTCTGGTTTTTCTGTTTGTCTCCTCAGGATTTAGCTCTATACACACAGTAATAACTTCAAGGAAGCTTTTTCATTCATTCATTCTTATTTCCCCCTTTCCTTCTCCACCCCCCTTTTTTTGTGGGCTGGGCTCTTTTTCTCCTCCAGTATGACTTTCTCACCAGCCATTTCCTTGACCCTTCTCCTCAGGAAGTAGTTTTCTTCTCAAACCAAGCCCAGGGAAAAAAAAATTAGCAGTAAAAGTTGAGAAGTTGTAAAAACTGAATCTATAATTCTGTTTCATAGCTCTGAACCCCCATCCAGAAACCCTACTCTAACAAAATGCCTCAGTTTAAAATCTATCCCTTTTCTGAACTCCTCAATTTCCCCCCTCTACTCTATTCCAATGATGCTGAAGAGTTAAAAATACATACTCATCTTTATATATATATATATCTACATCTATTTTATTTTTTTAAAGGAATTAACATTTGGTGGGTGGGGGAAGGCTGGAGTAGGAAATAGAAACTAAATACACATATGACCTATTTTTTTTTTGTGTGTGTATAACCACAACAAACTAATGATGGGACTGATGGAGTAATGGAACCCCTAAAAAGGGGTCCTTGAACTTTCCCACAAATTTCAGCAACCAAGTCCTTGGCTTTTCCCTGAGGCATATAGTCTATTTCAGTATAATCCTTTTAACTTGCTCTTTCATTGTGGCCCTCATTGTCTGCACCTGGCCCACTAGCCCATCCCAGGCTACTTGCCATTCCTTAACCCATCCAGATTTTCCCACAGTCTTTCTGTATAAAGTATCAATCTTACCCCCATTAAATTGTGCAGATTCCTTAAGAATCTGGCCTGCTTGTATTGGCCATCAAAAATACCACAGACTCAATACCGAACTGGTGTCATGATAAACTCACTGCTTGGACTGAAAGAAGGCTTGAGTGGTTGAATTCTTTCGAGGCAGACTCCCGCCCTGTACCTTTGCATTTTGGGGTTCCTAGCACCCCTAGACCAAACACTAAGACTTAAGATTCATTGAACAAGCAACTACAGAAGAAAGGCTTGAAGATCAAGGTGGTCCATGTACAACCTATATCAAATTGCTTTCTATTGCAGAGAGGGGAGAAGGGAGAGAGAGAAAGAAGGAGAACATTTGGAATTCAAAATTTTTTTTAAAATGAATGTTAACCAAATTACTAAAAATTTATCTTACTGAGTTAGAAAAAAATAATTAAAAAGTTCATTTAGAAGAATAAAAGTTCAGAATTTCAAAGAAACTAGGGAAAAAGGATATAAAGGAAAGAGATTCAGCAGTATCAATACACTTTAGCATATTATAAGATGAGAGCATTGTTGAAGTGTAAAATGAAAAATTTCAATTATTTTAGTTTCTTGTATAAATAAAACCAGTGTAGGCAAGAATAGAAATGATCAGTTCAAGGCACACCCCAAGGATATTGGAGTGCCACCTGAAATGATGGAGTTTATTGTCCTGAAAGAAATTCACTCAATCTCCAAGTTAAAGAAAGGCATTAATTGGGGTGAAGTACTCAAACAGAGCTGCTCCCCATGAGGCAGAGCCTCAATGGGCTCTACTCCATGTGGGAGGCAAAGCAGCCCTGCTTCTCATAAGAGGCAGAACAATTATTGGGGTTAAGTGTCTGGTCTATACATAGCTTGGTGGGATGGGGGAAGAGAGAGGAGGGGCAGGCAGGGCTCTGGAATGCCCAGGTATCAAATAATCTGGAGATGCCTTAGTCATACATATAAGCAAAGAGAGTAGGACTGGGGGAAAGGGAGTGCTGCTTAAAGTCCATACAGATAAGCAAAGGGAACACAAAAGGGTGGAGGAGAAGAGTTGTTTTGGTAAGGGAGTGCTTTGTGAAAGTACACAGGTAAGTCCTCAGTGGGGCTTCAATGCATGGTCTTCTTTGATTACTTTTTCTGGCTGGTCACAGCCTGCATCTTATCTCATATCTCACGTCCTGCATCCTGCTTGCTCTATTTGCCTTGAGCGCTCCTTTCTACCTCATCAGAAGGAATGCAGAAAATTGGGAAAAAACTTTCATGGACAATCTCTCAAATAGGATGTGATTGGGTTGGAATATTGCTGTGATGTAGGAAATGATGAGCTGGTTGATTTAGAAAAACATGGGAAGAGTTGGACCTATGAAGGAAGATGCTATCCACCTCCAGAGAAATAGATGACAGGTATAGTCTTACATATATGTGTATGAGTGTATATGTATATTATAGATATCTATGTATATGTATATATAGACTCTTGTAATTGAAGCTTTCTTTGGTGGGGAGGGAAAAAATAAAGAAAAAGTACACAACAGAGAACAAAAGAAAACTTAGAAGGAAGCAAAGAAAAGCTGGGTATCTTTGAAAACAATGTGTAGTATTTATTATGTAGGTTTTCTTGGAATGGAAATTTATTGTTTTATATTGAATCCTCTAATGTTCTGCTGTGTATGTGAAAAGTTCTTTTTTTTTCTTTTCTCATTTTGCATTGAAGTTTAAAATGAATAAAAAATTGACCAAAAAAAAAATGAATGTTAACTATATCTGATTGCTCACCGTCTCAGAGAGGGGAGGAAAGGAAGGAAGGGAAGGATAGAATTTGGAACTCAAAACTTCAAAAAACATAAATGTTAAAAAATTGTTTTAACATATAATTGGGGGAAAATAAAATATGCAATAAAAATGAATGTTAAAAATTGTCTTTACATGTAATTGGGAAAAAATAAGATTTTATTTAAAAAAAAAAGACCAAGGTGGTCCTGTGGCAAGGAAGGAGATTTCAGGCTCAAGTGATAGGAATGGAGGATGCAGACAGTGCTTGTTACTTGGATGGAGCCCTGGGAGTAGGGGAAGGGGTTCTATAATCCTTTTTCTAACCAGATCTGAAGGAGAATGGCAACTTGATCCAAGTAGAAGTAGATGAAGTCACATGTATCATATAGCTGCCCAGAGCTCCTCCCCAAAATGCTGTTCCAAGTGGGATGCTATTTCCTGTCTCTTTTTAACACAAACTACTTATGTCCTTCTCTACAGTAAACTGCTCCATGGCCTGAGTAGCACCCTCTGCAAAGCCTTGCTGTTTCTCCTTGGACTTGTCTGCATTTTTCATTAAAGTGTCTTTGCTGTCACTCAGAATGACTGAGGATCAAAAGCCCTGAAGGATGCAAAAACTCCAGATCAGAACAGTGATGGCTGGGGAGGGGCTGCAGGGTTGGAATGTTTTACAACATTAGATGGTAAGCTTCTTTTTTGATTTTTAATTTTTTTTTTAAATTTTTAGGCAGTTGGGGTTAAGTGACTTGCCCAGGGTCACACAGCTAGTAAGTGTCTTGACTTCAGGGCCAGTGCTCTATCCATTGTGCCACCTAGCTACCCCAGGGGACTGTCTTTTACCCCACCCCCTTTTTCTGTATCCCCAGTACTTAGTACTGTTCCTGGCAATTTTAGGCACTTAATAAATATTCATTGATTGATGGATAAAATCCAAACACATTTTTTGTGCCAGAAAACATCACTTTCTATGCAGTTCTGCTCTAGACTCTTGATCCAATGTCCACTTGTGCTGGACAGTGGTGGGTGATACTCTTTCTGAGCATGGTGGCCAATATGGAGGAAGGGCATTGAGGAGTTCTAAGTGTCTCCATCTAGTGCACAATGTCTTGGACTGATTGGCTAGTGGGGACCTAGTGCTCTGAGTTTCCTCCTTTGTCCGTCTCCATCTTCTCCCTCTTCAAATCTCCTCTCTAAGGGTAAGTTACATTCAAAAGTATAAATTGAATTTTGCCCTCTGCCCTTATTGATTTGGGATCTCAGAGCTGTTTTTGCCATCTGTTCCCTTCCCTCCTCCCTCTCAGCTCTCCACTGTGGATCCAGAATCAGGATGACTTAGTTGATTAAGTAGAGCTAACTCCTAGAGCTTTCACAAGGTCCCTCTTATATGACTCCTATTCTCCACACAAGCAGCTCTGCCTCACTTAAATCAATCCACGAGCAAGACATCACTCTCATGAAGTCATTGATCCTCTTTGAGAATGAAGAACAGCACAACCATTATCCTAGTACTAGCCCTCATCACCCGGACTGTATTATAATAGCCTTCTTTAAAAAAACAATTTATTGATACATTTGGCTTTTGTGGTTCATTCATGTCCAATTCTTTGTGACCCCATATTTTGCTTTTACCTGGCCTAAATTTCTCCCAGTAGCTGTTTTCCTCTCTCTTCCCAGAGTCATCCTATATAACTAAGAATATTTTTAGAGAAAAAGACAAAGAGAAAAAGATCAGCAAAATACATTGAAAAAGTCTGAAAATATACAATGTTATATAGTCATATTACATTCCCTTCCTTCCCGAACAAAGGAGCAGAGTTCACTTTAAATGGTTTTGTGATTGTTCTTTCACACTTTTCCTAAATTGTAGGTTTTCCCATAGGGAATTAGACTAATGGGGCATCTAGGGGGCTCAGTGAATTGAGCACTGGGCCTGGAGTCAGGAAGACCTGAGTTCAAATCCAGCCTCAGACACTTACTGGCAGTGTGATCCTGGGCAAGTCACTTAACCTCATCTGTAAAACGAGCTAGAGAAGGAAATGACAAACCACTCCAGTATCTTTGCCAAGAAAACCACAAAAGGAGTGAAAAACAACTAAACAATTAGACTATTATCTACTAGGTTTTCCTGTGCCCCCACTCTCCCAACAAAAAGGGTTAGACCCAAGCCCATACTCTTCCACCTCTCCCCATTAGTTTTCCCTAAAAATCGACAAAGCAGTCCCTGGGACCTGATTGGGCCCTGCCTCTGTGCTTCTGGCTTTCTGGTTACCTTTTGTGGTGGTTGTTGTTGTTCAATCTTTTCCACTCGGGTCCGACTCTTTGTGACCCCATTTGGGGTTTTCTTGGCAAAGACACTGGAGTGGTTTGCCATTTCCTTCTCCTGCTCGTTTTACAGATGAGGTTAAGAGGCTTCTCCAGGGTCGCACAGCTCCTAAGTGTCTGAGGCCGGACTTAAACTCAGGAAGATGAATCTTCCCGACTCCAGGCTGGGGGCTCCATGTAGTATGGGGCCACCTAGCTGCCCCTCATGTTACCTAACGGTATAAAGAGTCTCATCAATGTGAAGTCTTAGACTTGGCAGCTTCTTGGTGGGTTTTGGAAAAGAATGTAGATACCCACGCTTTTCCCTACTGACCAGACCACATGAGGAAAGCCAGGTCTACCAAAGCTGAAGCTAAGGGCTGTTGCATCCTTAATGATATCCTTTCTATGCTGAAGCTAAGTAAAACCCTCTTGTTAACCATTATATGGCCCAGAAGTGCCTCACTTCATCCCAACATCAAACCTGAACTAACAATGTGTTGGCATCAGGCCTGCCCCTAGTACCATGTCATCCTCCCACCCTCCCACCCTCTCAAAAAACTCCAAATGGCTCCCTAATACCTCCAAGATTTAATATTTAAAGCTCTTCAGAACCTGGCCCCTTCCTACCTTTCTAGTCTTCTTACACATCACTCTTCTCCATGAAACTCTATAAGCTGGCTACATTGGCCTAACTTAATCTTCCACAAAGCCAAATAGTCAGTCAACAAGAATTGATTAAGTACTTACTGTGTAACACACAGTTTGCTAAGTGCTGGGGGGTACAAGGAAAGGCAAAAACAATCTTTCTCTGCAAGGATCTCACCTTCTAATGAAGGAAGCAACATGGAAATCACCAGATACAAACAACACATAGAGAGAGCAGATGGAAAGGGAGGGTACTAGAAACAAAAGGGAAAGACCTCTAGAGCTGAGTCTTGAAGCAAGCCGGGGAAGCTAAAAGGCAGAGCTGAAGTTGGAGAGTATCCCAAGCATGGGGTACAAGCCAATGCAAAGATGTGCTGGGAGATGGAGTATCCTCTGAGGGATAGAGTGCAGCTAGAGTGAAAAGTGTGTAGAGGGGAGTAAAGTCTAAAAAGACTGGAAAGATAGGAGGACACTCCATCTCTCTACAGCTAATTATGAAGACTAATAGCCCTCGTCCATTAGGGCCACTGGAAAGCTCAAGACCAGTGGGGTTTGGGGGAGTTTTCTCAGCCTTTGGCCTCTACCCTCTTCTACTTCTCCCCACCCTTTTGCTGAAGTTGCTATCACTGCTGTATTTGCCTCCTTGCCTTGATCTCCTCAGGTTCTGATGCAAGAAGAAAGATATGTCCAATGATTTGGTACCTTGCAATCTCATGTCCCACCATGACTGTCTTCCAGACTCTCTCCAATCTATGGCCTAATCTGAATCCCCTTCTACTTCTGCTTATCAGGGCCCCTTCCTGTTGGGGTTAAGCTCTCTTCCTTCCTGTTCTTGGAACCTCCCCTTTCACTTCCCCATCCCTATCTATCTGAATTCACTTGGGTCAAAGAAAAATCAACTAAACATTCTTTTCCCCTTTGATGCTGACTCCATTTTCCATGGTTCAACGCATAGTATGTAGCCCTATGACTCTGGTTCATACAGGCAAGTAAGGCCAAAAAAATAAAAAGTTAAAATTTTAAATTTTAAAAGGCTGATCGTTGACACTAGCTGTGTGACCCTGGGCAAGTCACTTAACCCCAATTGCCTAAAAAAACCCCAACAGCCAACAACAAGAACAACAACAACAACAAAAGGCTGATCTTCTGATGACCAGTCCTTAAACTCAGCCACCAGCCCATTATGGCAAAGTACAAGGCTAGGGGTGCATGGTCCAATGGGAAGGATGCTTTTTTTTTTTTAGCCAACAGGCTGAAATGTTCTGCATTTTAAATGAAAGAGAAGGATTTAATTAAAAGGAGCCCTTTGCAAAGTTTGTATATTTTAAATCTTGGTTATAAGTCTTTTTTAAAAATTAACTTTAGTTAAGCTTTAGTTTCTGTAGTTTGATGGAAAAAATAGTATTCTTTATGATTGAGTATTTGATAAATGTTTGCCATTTAAAAAATAAAACATCCTAATCAGATGCGCTGAACACAGACCTCTGGTAGAGAGTGAGAAGCTGTGGAATAGTGGAGAAGAGAACTTACTCATGTTTAAAAGGCCTTTCAGTGTAACGGAAAGTGCTGTAAAAAATGATAAATATGAAGAATTTAGAGAAGCATTGGAAGGCATAGGAAAAGACATAGAATAAAGGAAACAGAGCCAGGAAAAGGTATGCACAATGACTACAACAATGTAATGGAAAGAGCAAAAAGGAAGAAAGAAAGAAAAAAGAAACTTGACACCATGTAGTTATAATGACCAAGAAGTTTGGCTTTGAAGAAGAGTTGAGAAAAATCTATTTCTCTCTATTCTTTGCAGAGATGGGAGACTATGGGCATAGAATATTGCATATATTGCCAGATGTATGCTGATAGATTTTGCTGAAATTTTTTTCCCTTTCTTTAATCTTTGTTGGGCAGTGAGGTGGTGCTCAGAGTGCTGAGCCTGGAGTCAGGAAGACCTGAGTTCAAATCCAGTCTCAGACATTTGCTAAGCTTTGTGATCCTGGGCAAGTCACTAAGCCTTGTTTGCCTCAGTTTCCTCATCTGTAAATGAAATGGAGAAGGAAATGTCAAACCACTCCAGCATTTTTGTCAAGAAAACTCCAAATGGAGTCACAAAGAGTTGGAAACAACTGAAACTACCGAACAACTATCTTTGCTAGAAGGGATGACTTGTTAGGTTGGGGGAGAAATCTATTTGGAAATAAAGATGATGTTAAAACAAGAGATATCGATGATTTTTTTAAAGGCTTTTCCTGGTAGCTGGTTGTTGAATGCAGAAAAAGAGTTTCAAATTTTCTTTAGAGACCTATCCCAAGATATGTAGGAAGAATAAGTAAAGAGGAGAGCTATCGACTAAGGAGATAAATAAAAAAGAAGTGGCTATATCTATGAGTTTGTTTGTTTGGGTTTTTTTTGCATTTGCTTTTTGGTGAGACAATCGGGGTTAAATGACTTGCCCAGGGTCACACAGCTAGTTAAGTGTCAAGTGTCTGAGGTCACATTTGAACTCAGGTCCTCCTGACTCCATAGCTGGAGGTCTATGTACTGCGCCACCTAGCTGTCCCAAATGTAAGATATCTTTTTTTTTTTTTTTTTTTTTTTTTGGTGAGGCAATCAGGGTTAGGTGACTTGCTCAGGGTCACACAGCTAGTAAGTGTCATGTGTCTGAGACTGAATTTGAACTCAGGTCCTCCTGACTCCAAGGTTGGTGTTTTATTCACTGTGCCACCTAGCTGCCCCTATAATACTTTCCTTTTTGCTTTTTTTTTTGTCTTGGTGAGGCAATCAGGGTTAAGTGACTTGCCCAAGGTCACACAGCTAGTAAACGTCAAGTATCTGAGGCTGAATTTGAACTCAGGTCCTCCTGACTCCAAAGCCAGAGCCCTATCCACTGCTCTACCTAGCTGCCCTAGGCTATATATCTATGTAATTCCTCCTCTGAGGCTACTTCCCCAATTCTGGCTCTCATTAGCAATGCCAAGTCCATAGAGGGTGGCTCACTACTACTCCCTCAGAGTTCCAGGGGTAACCCTGAGGGGCTGGGATTTCTATTACTGTCAATCACAAGCCCCTAGTTGTGTGCTCCTTCCTTATTATCAGCCAGAGTTCACTCTCATAAAGTGTATTTACTAAACAGGGGTAGCAAGGACACTTGTTACAGAACCATTTATTTCATTTGATCCTTCAAATCTTCCATTTGATTCTCATCCAAACCAGGGGTGCATACTGCCCTCTGCACACAAGGTCCCTGGGAATGGTGGGCTCAAACTTAGAGAGCACTTACGGCCAAAGAGTAAACTCACGATTCCTAGTTACTCCTGGAGGTCCTTTCTTCCCCCTTCATAGAGTCCCCATGATGTTCCCTTAAGATATAGCTCTCCTCTGGGCTCTGAGGGTCCGGGAAGAGTCCTGAAGCTTTCATTCTTCAGTGTGCCTGATTTGTCTTCTAGGCATCTCTCAGCTCTGGATGCAGACACTGCTGCCAGCCACTGTAGCTTCAGGGACACTGTTACTGGCTCTGATAGGAAATTCAGATTTTTATGACCTTTCAAAGTTCACAACGTGTTTAGTTAGTCAATGGCGGAAGGAGGGAGGAAAAAAATGCAATCATCTTCCTTGCCCCAGGGCAACCCCTTTTCCTCCAGTCTTTTCATCACAGGTTTAAACTACCATTTGACTTACCTTCCATGACCTGCTGCTCCAAAGCGACTCCCAACTGGCTTGTGGTGTTATACATAGGCCCAGAGGTAGGCCTGGTTCTGTCAGTCAATCACACTTTATTTCCTGTCTTCATCCAATGGTCAAAGTATTTTATTCCTCTTATATTTATTAGTCTGTTTTTTAACCAAAGAGTTCATGTTTTTGTTTGGTGGATTGACTCAGTCGATCTATCTGAGTCTTCTGTGAGGCAGAAGGCATGGTAGTGGGAAAGAACCACCATTAATTGGAGTAGGAGTGGAAACCACCACCCTTAAGCATCAACAAGGTAATTAAGGAAAAGATTTGTCCTGAGTAACGTCTGAGAGGAACAAACCTCGGTGGCTAATCACCACAAACCCCAAATTTTCCTCTTGCTGCCTCAAGATACCTTAGGGCTATTTGTCACCTACTGCTGGTTAAGGTCACTGATCTTGTCGATTCATCGTGGGTCAGCCTCTGAGAATTGATGTAGGAAGGAGGAGGAAGGAGGGTTAGTGAAGTGTTTTCAACATAGCACCCTGGGGCTGGTTTGGACAAGTTCCCATGTTTGCCCAGCCAGGCCTTTTCCTCCTAAGAGGCAATTATTAACCTTTCCCAGTGCCCAAGAATCAAAACCACATAAAAAATAGCCCCAAGTGCCTGTCACATGAACTTCAGGGACAGGGTTAAGATATCAGCACTCAATACCTCCAGAGCTCAGTGTCCTTCAAGGAGAGTCTCTGTCCAGTCTCCTCTTTCCCTTCTCCCCATCCTCTGCGGGATTGAATCTATCCGAGGCTCCTCTGCTGGAGATCCCAGTTCTAAAGTGGCTCTGAGATAACGTAGGTTCTCAAGCTAGACCTGCCTTTGCTAGGCATCTAAGTGGTACACTGGAGAGTTCTGGGCCTTGGAGTGAGAAAAACCAGAGTTCAAATCCAGCCTTAGAAATTTATTGGCTGTGTGACTCTGGGCAATTCACTTATCCTCTGTCTGCTTCAGTTTCCTTAACTATAAAATGGGGATAATAATAACACCTACTTCTTAGGGTTGTTGTGAGCATCAAATAAGAGAGGATTTGTAAAACTCTTAGTGCAGTGCTTGGCACACAGTAGGTGCTTAAATAAATACTTGTTTCCTTCTTTCCTCTGTGGTTAGAAAGGTTGTTGTCCTTCATTCTCAAAGAAGACCAAAACATTATGTTGGGATCAAAGTACAGTCTGACTATGGCGGATCAGACCAATGTGAGCTATCTGGCAGCCCACCCCTTCTCTGTCATATACATACTGTAAATTCAGTAAATTACTGGGGCCCATGAACTTGGTTTTTTAAAAAATTTTGAAAATATTTCTTTTTAACATTCATTTTTGAAGCGTATTTTTTATTTTTAATAATATTTTATTTTTCCTCAGTGACATGTAAAGACAATTTTCAACTTTTTTTGAGGCAATAGAGGTTAAGTGACTTGCCCAGAGTCACACAGCTAGTAAGTATCTCAGATTTGAACTTAGGTCCTCCTGACTCCAGGGCTGGTGCTCAACCCACTGCACCATCTAGCTGCCCCTTCAACATTCATTTAAAATTTTTTTGAGTTCCAAATTTTCTCTCTCCTTCTCTCCCTTCCCCCTTCCTGAGACAGTAAGCAATTCTATATAGATTATACATAACATTCACTTTTAATAATTTTGAGTTCCAAATTTTCTCACTTCCTGCAGTCCCTCCCCTACCCACCGAGAAAGCCAGCAACATCCCATTATACATTTGAAGTCATGAAAAAACATACGAAAATGATATTTCAATATAATTGTAGTTTCCTCCTCCTCTGTATTTTATTTTATGCATTTAAAAACATTCTGAGATGAGATCCACAGGCTTTACCAGACTGCCAAAGGGGACCATGGCACAAAAAAGGCTAAGAACCCCTGCTTCTAGAAAGACTTACATGAACTGATACAAGGTGTAGTGAGCAGAACCAGGAGAGCAGCGTACACATTAACAGCAATGTTGTACAATGATCAACTGTGAATGACTCAGCTATTTCCAGCAGCAATACAAAGATCTAAGACAATTCTGAAGGACTTATGCTGGAAAACACTATCTACCTCCAGAGAAAAAACTGATGGAATCTGAATGTAGAGTGAAGCATACTTTTTTTTTTTAAACTTTACTTTTCTTGGGGTTTCTTTTGTTTTATTTTGGGTCTGTGCTTTCTTTCACAACATAACTAATATGGAAATATGTTTTGCCTGACTACAATGAGTCACATTATCAAATTGTTTGCCTTCTTAATGATGGAGGAGGAAAGGGGAGAGAGAATGTGGAGGTCAAAATTGTAAAAAAACCAAAGGTTAAAAATTGTTCTTACATGTAATTGAGAAAAAAATATTAAACTTTCTGTTTCTCAGGGACTGCTGGGCAGGCAGGCTGCCAAGGCCTCAAGCCAAATTCCAAGTAACTGAAAAACCAATAATGGTATGGGGAGAACAGATGATAAAACATACCTCCTTTCTCTTGGTAGAGAGATGGGAGAGGACTAGGGACCATATTGTATGTATCATCAGAGAGGGGGTGTTGAAGTATAAGAGGCTGAGAGGTCATGACCCCTCAAAGACCCGGTGTACGGGACTGGTCGTCTGGAATGAATTCACAGACTCAAGCATTCTTTAATTCAAGGTGGCAAAGATGTATTGTTACACTTTTCAGTGGGCAAGGATTCTTAAAGGATCCTTTGAGAGACTGAGAATGCAGCTAGGGTTTATATGGAAAAGAGCATGGGAAAGTAATGCCAGGGACACTGATGAGGTAATCCAAAGGTGCAGGTGTCTTTGGGAGCTATGGATGGGAAAGTACAGGGAGTATACCAGATGGGGAGGGAGATGATAGAGGTATGGATATTTGGAGTCCGGCAGGAGGAAGAGTCCTTAGGCTAGCCAAGGACAAAACTCCATGGGCTGGGCAAGGCACCCCTCTCCCTCTGTCTTGATGATAGAATGTTCTGCCACAAGGGAAAGCTTTCTTACAAGACAGGAACTACTAAAGAATTGGGAGGCTTCCAGACACGTGATCTGAGGGCTGGGGCCTGAGCAGCCCAGCTCTGTGTAGCTGTACCAGGGAGAGATAAGGGTCATGCTGAGGCCTACGCATGAATAACTGCTAGGCACAGTGTCCGGGTCCTTGGGCTGGGGAGTGGCTGTCAGAGACAGTGTTTCTGAGACTAGGGAGAAATTGGGGTACAAGCACAAGCACCAAAGCACCCCATCAGGGGCACTGTATCTTTTTTTTTTTTTGCTTATCTGTTACAAGAAAGGTTCTACTGGGGCAAAATGCTATATACATTGACAGGATTTACTTAAATATTTATCTTTTTTTACAAAGGAGGGTTTAATTTTAGGAGAGTGGGGTGGGGGAGAAGGGGAGATATTTCCAGAAATGATTGTGATACATAAACAAAAGCTATAACAATAAATACATCTTTTTTTTAAAGTACAATAAAATTTTTAAAAAGGAAGCCCACCAAAAGTTTAGGCAGATGTGGAGTGGCAGGGCTGAGAGGACAGCTCTAGGGTAGCCTTAAAATTTACCTAGCCTCTTTTTGGGGAAAACAGTAGGGTGGAGGCTGAACCAGGCGTGTGGGCTTGGACTTGAATACTCCACCTCACAGCAGGGTCAGTCAATACTCCGTATGTTTTAGAGGCGTGAGGAGGATCCTGGGGATGGAGACAGGGGCTCAGTTGGTCCTGGACTCTTTTTCCACCCAATTATCTTTGAGTCTGTGGCAGGACTAGATAGCATGGTGTGGTAGAAAGAACACTACAAATGTGGTCAGAAGTCTTCAGTTTGAATCCTCATTCTTTTCTTTATTAGCTGTGTGACCCTTTACCTCTCTGGGTCTCAAGTTTCCTCCTCTGTAAAATGAGGGAGTTGTACAGTAATAACATTCCAAAGCATTTCAAAACAGGTATTGAAAGTCTAATTACAGATGAGTCAACTAAGATTCAGGGGTGAAGTGACTTGCCATGCATGAAATTACCTACTTAAGTGTCTGAGGTCAGGTTCAAATTCAGGTACTTTTTCTTTGTAAGGTTGTCAAAGTTTAAACCTGTTGGCTAAAGAGGTTATGTGGTTTCCTTTGTGCCCACTGCAACCTCTGGAAACCCATTTCAGCCCTAGTTTGAAGCTAACAATCCAGAATACAGCACACCTCAGCCACTCAGGGGTCTGAGCTTTCCCTAAAAATCATAGCAGCCATACCCCCTCAGCTGGGTGAGTAGACCCAAGACAAGTTCCAAGGATAGTGAAGGCCCTTCAATATCCCTCACTCCTAATCTCATCCCTTAGCAGTGGGTCCTAGAAACCCCCTCAATCTGAACTAATCTCATATATGTTCAGAAATCTCCAGCTGGTTCCCTGGGATCTGACAGCCAGTGTTATTAACTGTGCTCTGGTGTTGAATCTAGGTGATGGGCAGGCTGGAGATAGCTGAGAAGGACCATAACCACAAGTTGTCTCCATTCTGAAGGCTTGCCTGTGTTTTCCACAGCAGGGTAAATCGGGCCTGGGTCTCTCCCAGAGCTTGATGACTAGGGTTGGCTCGGAATGTCTGCTGAGCTAAAGCTCTAGGAGCATCTTATTTGTAATTTCTTGCTAGTGAGGACTGAATGAACTTCCTTCTCAGTGGGGAGAAGAAAGCCCTAAGGACCTCAGAGAGCCTATACCCTGGGCTGGGTTTCCCCAGACACCATTGTGCTTGGAAGCTTGAAAAGGGAGGGTGGTAACAGAGTTTATTGTGCTCACCCCACTTTTTTTTTTGCCTAGGTGTTTGGTGGGTGATGCTTAAAAGCCAAAGTGAGTGTTGGGTGGGTGGGGATTAAAAATGGGGGGGAGGATGGTGAACATCCCCTTGGATACTCTTCCTGGCCCTCTGGAGACTCCTTTAGCCTTCCCCACCTGTCCTCTTCCTCTGGCCCTCCAAACTTCCCCACTCCCCAGGAATCTCTTTCCACCACCGTTGTCCTTGGAGTGAGATAGAATCCAATTTTATTTGTAGTTGAGACCTTGGCCAAGAGGGAGGGCGGCGGCGGGAGGCGGCGTGGGGAGGGGGCGGCCCTCCCTTCCGACCGTCCCTTGTCCACTTAAGACTCGGGGTACTGCTTGAGGGTGATGGAGGCCCCGCTGCTGACCATGACTGCCGGGTAAAGCGGCTCCAGGAAATTGGTGAGGAAGCGGTATATGAGGCTCATGCCCCCCGGCCACGCCGTAGAAGGAGAGGCAGCCGGCCGGGTAGTCCAGGGCCACGCCGATGGTGCGGTAGTAGCCCCCCTGAAGCACGGTCTGCGTGTTATTGTGCCAGACAGAGAATTTGAGCGAGTCCCACTCGAGGCACCACGAGGCGCTGTTGCGGCCGATCAGGTAGACGATGTTGCGTCGGGGTCGCCCGCTGGGCGGGGGGCTGCAGCTGTACGTGACGCCCACGCAGACCCACGAGTTGGACACCTCGGCCTCCCAGTAGTGCTGGCCCTCGGCCATGCTTCGGGTGCACAGCACCTGGGGCCACTGGTTGAACCCCGGGAAAGGGCCTGAAGCGTAGGGCTCTAGGAGGATGCCCAGGTTCAGCACCGAGTGGGTCTCCTTGAACAGGAACAGCTCCTCGCTGGCCGTGGCCGAGTCAAAGTTCAAGTTGCAGTAGCCTGGTGAGGGGGTGGGGGTGGGGGTGGGAGAGGGGAAGGAGGGGAGGAGGGACAGCGCTGCAGACCAGGAACCAAGAGAGCCCGGAGCTCTGGACTCCGTGGAGAAAAGAAGATGTGCTTATTTGCATATCATTTGCATGAGAGTAATTCCATTCACCGGAGAAGTCCCCGCCTCCTGGGGACCCCTTCTGGGGGCCCCTCAGCTCTGGCCTCTCTCCCTCCTTCACCCAGCCTCAGTCTAAAAGGATGACTAGTTGGCCTTTCCCTAGGTTATCTTAGCAGGAGATCAGAGGGAGACTGGGGCTTAGGGTTTTACCTGGCTGGGCTCTTACAGGGAGGAACCCCACCCTCAGCACAGTGCTTGGTATACAGTAAGTGCTTAGTAAGTAAATGCTTATTGACTGCTGACAGACTGTAGACTGGGCACATACTGTATATCTAGCTGGAGAGAAGGTACAAGGGAGCAGGGGAATGAACTGAGGGCCTGCGATTGATATTGCTGTGTCCATTCCCTGTCCTGCTAAGGAGAGGACACAGATGTGCTCTTTATATAGAATCTTTTCATTACAAATAACTGGGATGCAGAATTATGTTCCTATGTATGTAGGGGGAATATTCCCTACCCATTTAATCAGGGAAAGCTACCTGCAGAGGGTGGGGCTTTGAGGTGCGTGTGGAAGGTGGTGGAGTGGGAGAGCTAGGCCTTGGATATGAACGTGGGTATGAATTGAATGGCAAGTGAAGGGCAGGAGGACCTCGGGGACGTAGCTTGTGGAAGGAGGCAGAGGATAGAGAGGGGCGTGGCTCAGTTAAGGCCAAAGGAATATGGTACTAGCTCCCAGCTTTGCCCTGGTCCCACTGGATGCTAGCAGTCACACAACTATGGCCAGAGGCTGTGTTACATCCAGGAACTAGACCACCTATGTACAGTAGAACTAATCTCAAGGTCAGGAGGAGCTCCCAGTCTGCCAATATGGAGTCTTCTCCCAGCAGAACGTCAACTCACCTCCTGATGAGACCTAAAGTCAACTCGATCAGCAACATCCCTGAAGTCTCAAGGTTTTTTGCTTGGGGATTGGGATAGTGGTTGGGTGGGGAGGGATAGAGAGGGCTGGTATCTCTCCCAAGGGAACAGAATGGAAGAAGAGTAGGTGGCAGAAATGACTTATGAGTCAGGTCCTTTGCAAACTCACCTTAGGGTTAGAACAGACCTTAGGGATCATCTAATCCAATCTCATTTTTATAGATAAGGAAGTGGAGGTCTAGAAGTTTAAATGATTTGCTCAGGGTCACATAGAGAGAAGGTGGCAGAACTGGGATTTGAACCCAGGTCCTTTCACATCCGATCTAACTCTTTCCCCATTTCACCTTGCTGCCTCCATCCCCCTCAAAGGGCAAGGCACCCCAGGACCCTGGACTCACACTTCAGTAGATTCTTTCTGTCCACTGCTGGGGGCAACACCTCATAGGAACGCATCTTAATTCCTGGAGGAGATAAAGACCCTTTTGCAGATGTAGATGCAGACCTCAGATGGAGATCTGAGATCCAAACCTGAGATGTAGACCTCAGTTGAGAATAGCCTCATACTACTTCCCTACAGCTGGTTTCTCCCAGTCACAAGTGGCCAGGTTACTGGACAGAGTGGTCCAGGGCTCAGGCCAGCCCCCCCCCAAGCATAAACAATGTGGTTTCTGCCCCCCCAGTCTCTTTACCCTCTCCCCAAGTTCTCTTCCAACCAGGTAGGTGTGCAGAAGGAAAGATACAGGCAAATGATCCCTAGTCCCTAACTCCTCTTCACTCCCTCTCAGCTCCCATCAAGCCCTCCTGACTGACACTCACCCTTTAGAAGAAGCTGGTTGACAAAGCGGAGGCCCACTACAGCCAGCTGGGCCCGCAGCTCAGCCAGGATCTCGGACAGCCGAGGAAAGCTGTTTGTTTCTTCACATGTGGTGCCCAGCAGTGACTCTGTGCAGGCTGGGAACCGCTTCAACCTCGGGAACTCCTAGGAGGTGGCCAGGGACCCAGGGAGAGGAGCCCTCTCTGTCAGCTGTGTGCCAAGCAGTGTCTGGGAACTTCGGGCTGCCCCAGGGGTGGCAGCTGTGGCAGTGAGGGAGGTGGGGCACAAGTTGCCTGTCTTCCAACTCCCATGCCTTCTCCCCTCTCTCCCTCCTTCCCTCCCTCCTCCTTTATGATCCTGGCAAGTGCTCCAAGCTCAGGGTGCTGCCACATTTATGGCAGGACATGGCTTAAGCTATGGATCAGTTGAGTGGGTCATTGAGGGTCCACTTTTTTTTTTAAGAAGAGAAGGTTTCCGCTGAGCCTTGGGAATTATTTTAAAATGGTTCTTTTCTTGGCATTTTGATCTTAATGAGGGCCTAAGAAATACAGTTTTGTCCAGGATGAGGGAATGACAAGAAAGTAACTGCTTGCAAATCCATCCTCAGTCCATTCCACTTCCACTTTGGGAAGCAGAGTCTAGGCTGGAGAAGAAGGGGATTGAAGGGAAGAATTTGCTTCCATCTCACCTTCCAGACCTGGTCTGACATGGTTGAGGCAGTCATTGAGAAAAAGTATGACACATTGATCATAAGTTTAAAGATGGAAGAGACCTACGATTAAAGTGTTGCTTTCTTTCTTTAGAGGTAGAAGGTATCTTTGGGGCCAAGGTCTGACCTTTATCGTACAAGAAACTGAGACCCAAGGGGGTTAAATGACTTACCCAGAGTTCTCAGTCAGTAAGTATCTAAAGCAGAATTTGAAATCAGGTCTTTCTGACTCCAAATCCAGCACTATCTACTAGCTGCCTCTCATAGGAAGTTGACCTATTGCTCTGATATAGTAGAAAGATTAGGGAAGAACTTTCCAACACAAAGGGAGGATTGAAGGTTGTAGGAGGGATTGAGTATGACATTCTTTCTGCTCCACCTTATTGGGGGAAGTGGGAGTAAGGGTTTGTTCTCAGCTTCTAGCCTTCAGAGCTCATCTGATCGCCTTAACCAAAAGATGATCAAGGGAATGGGCTGACTGATTCCACATCTTAATAATGAAGTGACTTGCCCAAGGTTGCAGAGCAAGTCAGTGGTAGGGCCAGGAGTAGAACCCAGGGCTTCTCATGCCTATTCCAGCGGCTGTTCTACTGCTCCAAGACTTAGGCAGGGCTTGGGGAAGGGCTAGTGGTGGGATAAGAGGTAGTAGTATTCAAGGAACTCCTACCTCTAAAAACTGCTGGTCACTCTGGTTGGTGAGCAGGCTCCGGAGCCAGACACTATCACCCTCTAGTTCTAAGAGGCGACTGTGGCTTTGTTGGATAGAGCTGCCCAGCTGGCCCAGGGCAGCTGCCTCCTCCTTTTCCACAAACTCCAAGACTTTCACCTGCAGCCGCTTTACCTCCCTCCCAATGTCCGCAAAACAACGGTTTACATCCTCTCGTACTGTCTGGATCAATTTCTGGAGGGGTAGGGGAGAGGAATCCCTGATCTCCCTCTACCTTGGGGATCCTGAACCCAAGAGTGGGAGTGCCAATATGGCACAGGGTACCTCCCAATGCCTGAGCCAAGGCCTTGGTCCCACAACCAGGTAAGCCCTTTCAGTGATGGGAAAAAAGGCAAATGGCCAGTGGTTTGGACAGTATATTAGATCTAGAGCTAACTCAAGGGCTTTGTCCCCAAAGTGTCCATGGCCAGAAGCTAGCAATGGAATTGGGAATCCAAACAAGGAGTCCTAACTCCCTTCAGTTAGATTCTGGGTATAGGTTCTACCTGTTCCCATCCCATCTCAACCCCATACTAATTTAGCTCATCCAATCCCAATTCATTTCACCTATCTCATCTTATCTTATCCTATCCTATCTCAATATCCCAATCCAATCTCATCTCATCTCATTCCATCCTACCCCAAACCATTTCATTCACCCTAGTAAGTCAGTGATTGAGGTAGTAGATGGATGCTGACTCCCTGGATGTCTTTCTAAGCCCTGTAACTTCCCACTGAAGCCTGACTTGTGGGCTTCCCCAAGGGACACCTTAGAAGCCTGGGCATAAGAGCCTATGCCAAACTTACCGTGAGGAAAGCTACCCGACCACGGTGCTTCTGGCTATCAGATGCAATGATCAACATCTGGTTCTCTACATTGGCCTGGACTTTCCGGACTTCTACCTGGGGCAGAGGGGAGGGGATACAGAAGTCACCCCCTTCAGAAGGACAGACTTCTGCCCCCTGTTGCCAAAGTCATTGCTCTGTTTTCCCCTAAGAACCAGTGCCCTGGGGCTGCTAGGTGCTACAATGGATAGTGCACTGGCCCTGGGAGTCAGGAGGACCTGAATTCAAATCAGGACTCATATGCTTAATGGCTGTGCGACCTTGAGTAAGTGACTTAACCTTGATTGTCTAGAGAAAGAGAGAGAGAGAGAGAAAACCACTGCATTTCAGAGGTACTGATGGATTTCAGAGCTACTAAAGCCTTTTTGTCAAGAGTGGAACCCCTGTCCAACAGCAACAGACAGGCCATAGAGATGTGTAGACATAGATGAGTTACAATAAGCAATATTGGAGGGAATAGTACAATCAATGAGCTGAGAAAGTCCATGAGATTATTGGAGTTCCCTTTTAAAAAAGAGGCTTCAGTGTCATATAGCAACACACAGTACCAGAGTATCTCTATGGATGTGATCAAGCTGTCCTTTTCTCTCCCTTGACTTCTGTCTAGCACACCCAGGGCCCACACGCTGCTGCACAGAGCACTAGGCTCTCTTCCTATCTCCAGACCTAGTGGCTTTAGGAAGAAAGAAGTCAGATCTAGGCCTGGTCATGAAAGGATTTTAAAATAAGGAGAGAGTTCCCCAATTGATAAATGGTCAAAGGATATGTACAGGTAACTCTCAGAGGAAGAAGCTAAAGTTATTTGTAGTCATATGAAAAAATGTTCTAAATCACTATTGATTAGAAAAATGCAAATCAAAACGACTCTGAGATACCACATCACACATATCAGATTGGCCAACATGACAAAACAGGACAATGATAAATGTTGGAGAAGATGTGGGAAAGTTAGAACACTAATACATTGTTGGTGGAGTTGTGAACTGATCCAACCATTTTGGAGGGCAGTTTGGAATTAGGTCCAAAGGGCTATAAAATTGTGTATACCCGTTGATCCAGCAATACTACTTCTGGGTCTGTATCTCAAAGAGATCATAAAAACAGGAAAAGGACCCACATGCACAAAAATATTTGTAGCAGCTCTTTTTGTGGTGGCAAAAAATTGGAAATTGAGGGGATACCCAGAAATTGGGGAATGGCTGAACAAGCTGTGGTATATGAATGTAGTGGAATACTATTGTGTTATAAGAAATGATGAGCAGGCGGACTTCAAAACAACTTGGAAAGACTTACATGAACTGATGCAGAGTGCAATGAGCAGAACCATGAGAACATTGTACACAGTAACAACTACATTATGGGATGACTGACTTTGACAGACTTAGCTCTTCACAGCGATGCAAGAATCTAAGATATCTCCAAAAGATTCATGATGGAAATTGCTATCCACACCCAGAAAAAGAAATATAGAGTCTGAATACAGATGGAAGCATACTATTTGCTCTCCTTTTCCTTTGTTGTTTTGTTTTATTGCTTCATTCTCATTGTTTTTCCCGTTACTTCTAATTGTTCTTTACATTATGACTAATGGGAAAATATGCTTAACATGAATGTATTTGTAGAGCCTATATCAGATTGTACGCCATCACTGGGTGGGGGAGAAATGGGTGGGGAGAAAATTTAAAACTCAAAATCTTTTGGAAGTGAATGTTGAAAACTAAAAATAAATAAATTAATTTTTAAAATTAAATAAAATGAGGAGAGAGGCAGCATAGTAGATAGAGAGCCAGCTTTCAAAACCAGGACAACCTGGATTTAAGGCCTGTCCCTGACCCACATCAGCTGTGTGACCCTGAGCAAGTCACTTAACTTCTCTCTGGGCCCTGGACAGCTCTCTAAGACTCTAAGTTGCAAAGACCATGCTAACTTGCATTGGTAGAGTGCTTCCTATACCAAATGAAATCCCAGGTTCAGTTCCTAGCCCTATAGATCAAGGGTTCTTAATTTTTATCTTGTGTCATGTCTGTGGAAGTCTAATGAGGTCTACGGACTCCTCAGAATATTTTTAAAAATTCATTAATTGAAGGAAAATGCTAAATTTCAGTTAGAGGTTAGTACAAATGAAGATGTAATTATTTTCCTCATCCAAGTTCATGGACCACTATTCATGGACTCTAGGTACTGCTATATATAGATATTGATATTTAATTATGTTTGGATCAAGAGTCATAAGACATGGATTAGACTATTGCTCAGAGGTTCTTGGTTAAGAAAGGATAAAAAGGAAGCAAAACTACTCAATTCCTAGCTTGCTTCTTTCTTTTCTGTTGAGAGTAATCTTCAGATAGGAAAAGGTAAGAATAAACACATATAAGAGGAAACTGAAGCCAAAGAAAGGTGAGGAGATTTTAAAAGAGTAACTGGCCTTAAAATGAGCATATGCGTATGTGCAAAAACATATTTATAGCAACTCTTTTTGTGGTGGCAAAGAATTAGAAACTGAGGCAGATTCCCAATTGGATCTTCTCAGTTGTTTCAGTTGTGTCTGACTCTTTGTGACCCCATTTGAGGTTTTCTTGGCAAAGATACTGGAGTGGATTGCCATTTCTTTCTCCACCTCATTTTACAGATGAGGAAACTGAGGCAAATAGGGTTAAGTGATTTGTCCAGGTTCCCACAGCTAGTAAGTATCTGAGGCCAGATTTGAACTCAAGTCCCTCCTGACTCCAGGCCTGGTACTTTATATGCTGCACCACCTAGCTGCCAAGAGATGATGAAGGGGCTGATTTCAGAAAAACCAGGAAAACTTGCATGAATTGGTGCAAAGTAAAGTGAGCAGAACTAGAGCAATGTGTACAGTAACAGCAAAATTGTAAAGATAAACAACTGTGAAAAACTAAGTAACTCTCTTCAATACAACGATCCACCAGAACTCCAAAGGACTCATGATGAGAAATGCTATCCATCTTCAGATAAAGAACTGATGGACTCAGAATGCAGACTGAGACATTTTTTTTCCTGTGTTTTTCTTGCCTTTTTTTTTTCCCCAAACATGGGCTAATGTGGAAATGTTTTGCGTGACTTCATATGTATAGTAGCTATCATATTTCTTACCATCTCAACTGGTGGGGGAGGAAGCAGAGTGAGAGAATTTGTAACTGAAAATAAAAATATTTTTTAAATGAACATATGAATTCAGTCCCCAAAGGATTCTGCTTCGGAAAATTGAAAGAACTCAGACATGTTACTAGTGACTTACTGCTAGTGGTCTCTGAGGACTTGTAAAGAATAGAAGTGATGAATGTTCTAATTCTTCAAAGAGGAAAAAAGTAAATCCTGGAAGGTCTTAGACCGTTGTCAAGTCACTGGGAAAAATTCTAGATTGGATTCTTAGTTGGATAGTTTCTGAACACTTAGAAAGGAAAAGAAACATCATTAATAGGAAGCATTGTGGGTCCACTGTGAACAAGTCATCCTTTTTGTTAGGATTACTAGCTGGGTAGATCAGGGGACAATGGTTTGGACAAGTTGGACCTGCATTTTAGCAAAGTATTTGACAATATTTGCTCTAACATTGGCAAGATGGACAAACGTGGCCTGGATGATGGTAGAGTTAGGCATGTTAAATCATAGCTAGTTGAAGGACTACACCAAAGAGTATAGGGGGCAGCTAAGTGGTACGCTGGATAAAGCACTGGTGCCAGAAGGACCTGTTTGCCTCAGTTTTCTCATCTGTAAAATGAGCTGGAGACAGAAATGACAAATCACTGCAGTATCTTTGCAAAAAAAACCAAACCCCAAAACCAAAAAACCCAAATGGGGTCATGGAGAATCGGGCATGACTGAAATGACTCAACAACAACAAACAAAAAAGAATATAGAGGACGGTCGAGTAATATGGAGGGGAATCTCTAGGGGCTCAGCCCACGTTTCTCTGCTCTCAGCTTGGTTCTGTTCGATGTTTTCACTGATATCTTAATGAAGACGTGGAGAGCATGCCTATCAAGACGATGGGTCATACACAAAAAGGTAACAGAGATAGCTGATGTTTGACAGATGCTCAAGAAATATTTATTTCTTAAATATTTATTCAACTGAATTACAATACTGGAGGCAGCTAGTTGGTATAGTGGATAAAGGACTGGGCATGGAGTCAGGAAGACCTGAGTTCAAATTCAGCCTCAGACACTTAATAGCTGGGTGACCCTGGGCAAGTCAGCCCTGTTTGCCTCAGTTTCCTCATTTGTAAAATGAGCTGAAGAAGGAAATGGCAAGCTACTCTAGTATCTCTGCCAAGAAAACTCCAAATAGGGTCATGAAGAATCAGACATGACTGAAAACAACTGAGCAACAAATATACCATTTTAAGGTTTGCAAAGCACTTTACTTATATGAACTCATTTGATCCTGGGAAGTAGGTGCTGTTACTATCTTCATCTTACGGGCAGACAGAGGTTAACAGATTTATGAGCTCAGCGTCTTCCTGTTCCCAAGCCTAGTACTCTTATCCACTACACTGGCTGCTCCAGCAGAAGGTAGCGTGGGTACACAGAGAAATTAAATGATACACCTAGGGTCACACAGCTTGTATTTGTCACAGACAGGACTGAAACACCTAAGTCATCCTGACTTCAAGGCCAGCTTCCCAGCTTCCCATCTGCCACCTCACAACTGCCTCTCTTCCCTCCTCCCCATCAAATCTCTAGAGGTCAGAACTATGCACTTCAACTAATGAGATGATACAGTATTGAATAGGATACACATAAGGTCCTCCACCAAGGCTTAACAAAACAAATCTCAAGTAACAGGATGGGAGAGACCTGGCCGAACAACAGTTTCTTTGAAAAAGATTGAGAGATTTTAGTTGGCTTCAAACTGAACATGAAAAAAACAGTGTGATGTGGTAGCCCAAAAAGGAATAAGATACTGAACAATATTGGAGGAAGAGTGTCAAAGGCAAAGGAAATGACTGAGTCCCTTTGTCTTCTGGAACAAATATGATGGTAGGAGGACTCCTAGATTTTTTGTCCTGTTCTGGACACTTTGCTTTAAGAGAGGCTAAAGTGCACTCAGAGGAGAGTGACCAGGATGACTCGAGGAACTGCTGAAAGAAATGGGAACATTTAGACTGGGGAAAAGAGATCTGAGACAGAGCACGAGAGCAGTCTTCAAGTATCGAAAGGGCTATAGCAGCTAGAAAAGCTGCTGGGCTTATTCTTCGTGGTTCCAGAGCGTAGGACTCAAACCAGTGGACAGAAGGTACAGAGGCAAATTTTGCTTCAATGTAAATGTAACAAGGGTCATGCTCAGAGTTGCCTTTTCTTGGCTGTGGTCAACCACGTGAGAACTTTGGAGCCCCCTTCCAGCCCAGCCCAGAGAAGACATGGCGAACCCTGAGTAGTTTCCTTGGTGTCCTCCCTCCTCCCTCTAACAGTGACAGCATCAGTTAAATGAAGGGATAGCTTCTGGCTTGGCCTCCTGAACTTCAGCTGTCCAGGTGGCATCCAGTGAAGGAGGTGGGGGAAAAGGGCAGGCCTTTCTCCACCCTGGCACCATGGCTACTAGGCCCACAAGGTGGCTAGGGCAGAGGGCTCAATGAGGTGAGCTTGCACATGGGCTTTAGGCTGCCTCTTTCTCTTTTGTGTTTCCTTTCCTGAGTAGATGACTGAGCAGCAACCTTGAGATGGATGTGGCTGGGATTGGAAGCAGCCTTTGAGTTCAAGAAGTCTGGAAGCCGAGAAAGAACCAATGGAGTCTGAATGTAGATCAAAGCACACTATTTTTCACTTTCTTTACTTTTTTGTGGTTTCTTTTTCTTTGGGGCAGTGTCTTCCTTTACGACATGACTAATATGGAATTATGTTTTACAATGATTATACATGTATAACCTATATCAAATCGCTTACCATCTCAGGGAGGGGGGAGGTAAAGGAAGGAGATTTGGAACTCAAAAAAAATTTTTTAAATGAATGTTAAAAATTGTATTTACATGTAATTGGGAAAAATAAAATGTTATTTAAAAAAAAAGAAGTCTAGAAGTGGCAGCATCCAGAGGAGTGGTGGTAGCTGATGGCAGAGGAGCTTCTACATTGGAAAGGATGGCCACTGATAGGAGGATTGGCTCAGCCCTGGCCATTTTACCAGCAGATATATCATAAGAGGTTTTTTTTTGGAGAGCAAATTGCTGAAGTGAAACATAAAATGACTGATTAGTAATCCTACAAAGTGTTTATGTCCTGAGAAAGCGTAAGTTCCTGCATCAGCCCTTCAAAAACCAGATGAGGTCCCCAAAGGGGCTAGGAGAGCTGATACTACTCTCTATCCTATGCTCCACCATGCAGTTAAACCAAGTTCAATCGTGGGGGAGCCTGCTTCTAATGAAAAGGGGCTCTCTTTTCTTACAACTTGTGGCTCATTAAGCCTCCCACCATTCCTGGGTTGGTTTATTTCTTGGGTTATGTCTAGGGTGGGGAGAAAAAGATATTCAGTGTATAATACGGATCAAGTATGGGTCAGGTAATCTATTACTATGTATACAAAAAAATGCTCTACATAAAAGACACAAATGTATATTAACAGAACAGGATTCAGTAACTTAACACATAATTACTGTTACAATCTGCTAGAAAGCTGATACTAAAACCTCATCAGAACATAAAGCAATTTGCAGAACTACGAATTAGATTTAGCACTGCACCATCCCAAAAACTCCTAGTATACATCTGCTGATAAAATGGCCAGGGCTGAACCAGTCCTCCTATCAGTGGCCATCCTTTCCAATGTAGAAGCTCCTCTGCCATCAGCCACCACCACTCCTGCGGATGCTGCTACCACTGAAATCAAGACTTCCAGACTTCTTGAACTCAGAGGCTGCCTCCAATCCCAGCCACATCCATCTCAGGGTTGCTGCTCAGTCATCTACTCAGGAAAGGAAACACAAAAGAGAAAGAGGCAGCCTAAAGCCCATGTGCAAGCTCACCTCATTGAGCCCTCTGCCCTAGCCACCTTGTGGGCCTAGTAGCCATGGTGCCAGGGTGGAGAAAGGCCTGCCCCTTCCCCACACCTCCCTCACGGGAAGCTACCTGGAGAGCTGAAGTTCAGGAGGCCAAGCCAGAAGGTATCCCTTCATTCAACTGATGCTGTCACTGTTAAAGGGGGGAGGGAGGACACCAAGGAAACTACTCAGGGTTCGCCATGTCTTCTCTGTGCTGGGCTGGAAGGGGGCTCCAAAGTTCTCATGTGGTTGACCAGAAGCAAGACACAACAACTCTGAACGTGCCCCCTGTTTTTACAGATGATGGGTAGATAGACAGAATAGAGAGACAGATATATAGAGAGAGGTAGATATAGATAGATAGAGATATATAGATATAGATAGTTAGATGTATCTGTATAGATATAGCTAGGCAGAGATATCAAGCTCCCTCCTTATATAGATATACATATATACACACATACGTATACATACACAGACGTGAGCCATGCTCTTTCTCTTTCTATATCTATCTACATGCACAAACATGTTATGCATGTGTATATATGCACATGTATGTATGCATATATGTGTGTATATATTTATATGTTATCAAATAAAAAAAGTAAGTGCTTTGCAACTTTGCTTTAAATGCTTTGCAAACCTTAAAGCACTATATAAATGCTGGTGGTGTTCAGTCATTTTTAGTCATGTCTTACTCTTCACAACCCCATTTGGAGTTTGGCTGAGATATTGGAGTGGTTTGTCATTTCCTTCTCCAGTTCATTTTACAGAGGAGGAAACTGAGGCAAACAGGGTTAAGTGACTTGCCCAGGGTCACACAGCTAGTAATATCTGAGGCCAGATTTGAACTCTGGGAGATGAGTCTTCCTGACTCCAGGCCCAGCATTCTGTGTACTATGGCGCCCCCCTAGCTGCCAACACTAGCTCTTATTATATATGGAAGGATTTTTTTAATAATGTGAAGCATCATTTTCAGTGAAGGGGAAAGCAAGAGTGGCTGGCTAGACACTGCTGAGAGCAGACATCCTTATCCCATTCTGCTGATGGGACAGCAACTGGGAACAGAAGGGAGTGTGGGAAGAGAAGTCAGTCTGGGCCAATGTGAGGAATGCTTAGGGAGGTCCTGGGCTCTCATTGTCAGATCTGTCTCAGTTCCCTGGCCTTCCCCAAACATGGCTGTCACCGGAAATCCCTAAGGTTGTAGCACGCCTTCCTTCTCGAGCCATTCCCTGACCCCTGGGCCCTACTCCACCGGAGTGGAAGACCTCGGCCATGGAGCTTTTTAAAAAGGCTTGCAGTGGGCCAGTAGGCATGACAAAGAAAGCCTCCCTCCCCAGTCCCCAGCATTCCTCCCTCACCTCCTTGAGGGCTCTCTCTTCCTCCAGTGGGATGGTATCGTGATTCTTATGTTCCTCCAGCAGGCAGGCCCCACACACGCAGCAACCCTCTGTCCGGCAGTAGAGCCGCTGAAGTTTCCGGTGTTTTCGGCATAGCTGCGCTTTGAGATCCCAGATAGGCTCCAGAAGACGGTGACCCTGGAAGACCTGGTCCTCGTAGTGAGTGCGCAGGTGATTCTCGCAGAGGGAGGCTGCACACTGCAGGCAAGACTTGACCGATCTGAGCTTTTCTGGGGAACAGAAGTCACAAGGGATATCACCAGGCCCGGCCACTGCTCTGTTTGGCGCTGGAGTCTGGTTCTGGGTGAAACAGGCCACGATCTCTCCTAAGATGACATTCTTTCTTAGGTGGGGTCTGGAGGCGAAGACCTCCCGACACTGGGGGCAGTAAGGTGTTTCCCCCATGGCTGCCTGGTGGTCCCAGTAGTCCTGGAGGCAGTTCATGCAAAAGTTGTGCCCGCAAGCTGTGGTGACTGGGTTATGGAACACTTCCAGGCAGATGGGGCAGAGGACCCGGTCTTCAAAGATGCAAAAGCTGTTGTTGTTATTCATCTTGACTTGGGCTGGTGGGATCTTAGGGGGCATGGGATGAGGGGAAGGGTTGAGTCAGGGTGGGTCAGAGGGCTGTGTTGCTTGACTCAGTACTGGGAGGGCCCTGGGGAAAGGAAAAGCAGGAGGAGATGTCATACTGAAGTCAAATAATGTAGCCTGCTCAGGGGCTGGGGTGGGGAAGATGGGGGTTGGGAGTAGCTTCTCTGACTACAAGAAAAGCAAAACAAAACCGTAGGACATTCAGCCCTTGTCTTAGGAAGAACCTTGGTAAGGAGGGGTTCCTAACTTTTTTCTGTCCTGGGCCTCTAAGCTTTCAGTAAACCCTCCTGGACCCCCTAATAAGGAAAGAAAAATAATATAGATTTTTCCATGCATACCTACAGAAATAAAATTTAAAAAACAAAACAGAAATAAAATAAAGAAATTAATTTCAATAATTAAAGGCCAAGAGGTCTTGAAATTTACCAAATATTCCCTATACCCCCTTGACAAGCTTTCCATACTCCTTAGCAGAATATGTACTCCACACTGGAAACCCCTACTCTACAGGATGTCAGTGTATTCACCTTTCCTGACAAACAGGCCACTTGAGAAGCAGCATGCATGGGATCTCCTCAGAACCAAGGAGAAAGGGAAGCCTAACTTAAGGAGAAGGCCGTAAGAGGACCATTTTGTAGGTGTTCAGTCTTTTTGGTCTTGACTTCTTCATGACCCCATTTGGGGTTTTCTTTGCAAAGATACTGGAGTGGTTTGCCATTTCCTACTCCAGCTAATTTTACAGATGAGGAAACTGAGGCAAACACGGTTAAGTAATTTGCCCAGGGTCTCACAGCTAGTGAGTGTCTGAACTCAGAAAGATGAGTCTTCCTGACTGCAGGCCTGGAATTCTATGCACTATGGCGCCACCTAGCTGCCCCAAAGAAGACCCTAAACCCAAGCTGAAACTCAAAGGTCTTCCATATGACAGAACGTTGGATTTATTATCATTATCATAAGACCTAGGTTTGAATTCTGCCCCTGCAGCCTAAGACTACCTGTGTGATCTTTGGCAAATCCCATTTTAATCTCTCTTGCCCTCCATTTTCTTATCTGCAAAGTGAGGGAATTGATGAAACCTTCGAGGTCCCTTCTGTCTCTAAATTTAGGATTCTTGACTGCTGCTGGACAATGGCTCGAGGTCCAGGGCCCCAAAGACTGAACTCCATGTTCAGGGCATAGAGCAGATAATGATAATAAGGAAGCAACAACCACTAGTCTTTATCTAGTGGGTTCACAAGGCACCATACATATGTTGTCTCATTTAATTCTTATAACCACCTTGTGAGGTAGGTGCCATTATTATCCCCATTGTGCAGATGAGGAAACTGAGTCTCAGCCAGATTAAGTGGATTGCCCAAGGTGACACAGCTAGTAGGAGACTTAGGCAGGACAAGGACTCAAGTCCTTTGGACTTCAAGTCCAGACTTGGACCTACTGTACCAGCAGTAGCCAGAAGAGCCAGTGGAAACAAGGGAAATGAACAGTGCAAAGGAATAGCGGTGCCTGAGCCTCCTAGTTTCTCTAGACTAACAATGGCTAAATAGTCATGGTACACATGGAGCAAAGAAGTGGTCCAGGCTCTGTCTTGCCCATATTAGGCACTGAAAATGTTTGTTGAATTGAACTGAATAGAAGAGTGCTAATGCCAGCTGGTATGGGCTTTCGAGAGCTGACTGTAAAATTTGCAGTGTTATTTAACACCTTAGAAAATGGCAAATGCTACAAGTCAAGGCTTGGTTCATTTTGTTGTTGTTGTTTATTGTTTAGGCTAAGAAAGTGATGGAGAAAATGTGAATCATAATGCAGATTGAACTTAAAAGCATTTCATGTATTTATTAAATATTACCGGCATACTTTCTGCTTCCATCTCAGGCAAGGGAGGGAGTTAAATCACTTTAAATAATTTAAATTTTTTTAAAAGCTCCTTGCCCAGAGAGTGGTATGTTGTCTCCCTTCTCCCCATGCCCAGGGCCTCCACCCTAGTTCAGGTTCTCTGCATCTCTTTATATTGTAATATGTTGTATATATTATAATACATTGTAATATTGTGATAACTGGTCTGCCCCTGTGTTTATTCTCTCTGGCTTTTCCAGTCCATTCTTTACACGGTTGCTAAAATTATCTTCCTAATGCATGTCTGACCATACTACTGTTCTCCTGGATAGAAATCTTCAGTGACATCCTACTGCTCATTGGGTAAAAAAAATATAAGGGCAGCTAGGTGGAGAAGTGGATCGAGCACTGGGCCTGGAGTCAAAGACCTGATTTCAAATTTGATGTCAGACGCTTTTTAGCTGTGTGACCCTGGGCAAATCACTTACCCTCTATTTGCCTCAGTTTCCTCATCTGTAAAATGGGCCGGAGAAGGAAATAGAAAACCACTTTAGTATCTTGGCCAAGAAAACCCCACATAGGGTTAATGGAGAGTTGGATATAACTGAACAACAACAGAAATATAAACTCCTTAGCCCGGCAAGAAAGAGTGATAGATTTGAAATTAGAGTGTTTGAGTTCCAGTCCCAGTTCTGCTGGCTTGCTCTCTGTTTAACCTTAAGCAAATCATGTTCACCCCCACTGAGACTCTGTTTCCTCATCTGTAAAATGGGGGGAGGGGGAGGAGGCGTTGGACTAAATAGCCTTCATGGTCCTATTTGGTTCCAAATCTATAATGGCCTGGATTTGATACCTTCTTCCCAGGCTTATTTCACATCACTCACCTTCCCACACAGTTTCAGGCAAAATAACTCCACTAGCTGCTTCTCATAGCCGATGTTCCATCTCCTATGCAGGCATCATAGATTTAGAGCTGGGAGCCACCCGCTGAGACCCCAAAAAGATGCAATGATTTGCCCAAGATCAAATAGATAGTAAGATGAAAAGCTTGGATTCCAACCCTGTCCCCCGACTCTAACTCCAGAGTTCCCCTATCACCCCACATCCATGATCTGAATTCTCCCTTGCCCACGGAAGTCCTCTTTCTTCCTTCATGGTTTAGCTTACAAGCCACCAAAACCTTTTCCTGACCCTCAGGGTTAAAAGTGATCTCCCACTCAAATTTTTCTAGTAGACAGTCTGATTTTCTCCTTTGAGCCCATCACCTAGTATTATAATTGTAGATGTGATTAATAGAATACAAGCTCCTTAAGGGCAGGGATGGTCATTAAAAACAAAACAAACAGACAAAAACCAAACCAAACCCCTCCCCCCAACCCTTCATATTCTCAGCTTGTGCTTAATTCAATTGATTAACATTGATTAAGCAGCCTATCATGTATCCCACGTGCTATGCTAGCTACTGGGAATACAAAGACAAAAAAAGGAAACAGTAGTCCTTGCCCATGAGGAGTTCACTTTCTTGGGAGTGGGGGTTGTAACATTTTCGCAGATAAGGATATATAAAATAATTTCAGGGGGCAGGTAGGTGGTGCAGTGCATTAAGTATCAGGCCTGGAGTTAGGAAGGCCTAGGTACAAATTCAGCCTCAGACACTTATAAGCCATGTGACCCTGGGCAAGTCACTTAACCTCTATTTGTCTCAGTTTCCTCACCTGTAAAATGGGGATAAGAATAGCACCTACTTCCTAGGGTTTGTTATGAGGATCAAATGAGATGATAATTGTAAAACACTTAGCACAATGCCTGACACATAGTAAGTGCTGTATAAATGTTAGCTAATATTATTGTTATTATTAGCTGTTGTGACCTTGGGCAAGTCATTTAACCTTTGTCTCAGTTTCTCCATTAGATAGGGATTAATAATAACACCTGCTTCTCAGGATTGTTGTGAGGATAGACTGAGATATTTGAAAAGGTCTTTGCAAACCTCAAAAGTGTTATACAAATGCTAACTATTATTTTTATGGAGATGGGGAAAGACCCAATGTGAGGTAGCAGCTGAGCTGAAACTTGAAAAGAAACCCAGGGATTCTAAGAGGCAGAGTTGAAGAGGGAGTGTTTTCCAAGCATGAGAGGACAGTCTGTGTTAAGTCATAGAGATGGGATATGGCTTGTCAAGATGAAGGATCAAGCAGAGGGTCTACCTTGGCTGTAATGTTGAATGTATATAAAGAGAGTGCCTAAATGGATCTACGTAAATAGTAATGTGAAACGTAGTAATATATTTTATATAGTATATGTAGTGATATAAAATATATAACAGAGTAACATAAAATGTATAATATATAGCCATATATTTTATATAGTATATATAGTGATATAAATATGACACAGTAACATAAAATATATGATATAGTAATATAAAATAGATAATAATATATATAGCAATGTAAATATATAGTTAATATATTTTATATCATAATATAGTAATATAAAATGGGAGGGTAGGTAAGATACAGATTGCAAAGGTTTTTAAAATGCCAAGATGAATTTTATTTTGTATTGGAATATCACAGAATCAAATGGGAAGCCATTGAAGATTTTTCTGTTGAGGAGTGACAAGGTTAGACACAGTGTTTTAGGAAAAGTAATTTGGCAGTTGCTGGAAGGACTGACTAGAAAGCAGAGAATTGGGGAAACAACTCAGGAGACGACTAATAGTAGCCTCCTCCTACTGCCTTTTTTTTTTTAACTCTACCTGAAGCTCGGTGTGTGAAGTGAATATTGTGACCCCAGCCAGGGAAAAAGGTACCAGATCTCAGATCCAAGAAATCATAGATTTAGAAATGGATAAGACCATCGAGATTAAGTCCAATGCCTTCATTTTACAGATAAGGAAAGTGAGCCACGGGCTGTTCCTCTTGCTTGGAATACACTCCCTCTTCAACTCTGCCTCTTAGAATCTCTGGGTTTTTTTTTTTAAATCAAGTCTCTGCTGCAACTTCATAGTTAATCTTTTGTCATTTCCATAATAATAATGATGGTAATGAGCAAAGGTAGCATTTATATAAGACTTGAAGTTTTGCAAAGACCTTTTCAAATTGAGGCGATAAAATGTCAGTGGAGGGGAGAGAGAAAAAGAGGGAGAGAGAGAGAGAGAGAGAAAATGAGAGACAACGAGGAAGAAAGAGAATGAGAATGAAAGAAAATGAAAAGAAAATGAGACAGAGAATGAGGGAGAATGAGGAAAATAAGGAAGAGAAAGAAAATGAGAGAGAATGAGGGAGAGAGAGAATGAGAATGAGAAAATGAGGAAGAATGAGAGAATGAGGAAAAAAGTATGAGAGAGAATGGGAGAAAAAAGAGAATAAGAATGAGGGAGAAAAAGAAAGAAAATGAGAGAAAAGAGAGAGAATGAAGGAGAGGGGAGAGAGAGAGAGAGAGAGAGAGAGAGAACTGGAATGACGTCCACATTTACTGGGAAGAAGATGGATTGTGATCTAGTAATCTGGTAATGGAGGCTGAGAATGAATGGTCAGACATAGGAAAAACAAGGCTGAGCAGTGCCCCTGGAAGCCAAGGGCAGATACAGCACTCAGGAGAAGGGAGGGTGGGGTGGTTAATGGTTAAAAGTAGATTGAAAAGTTAATCATTTTAAGAAGACATTACTGGTAAATTTGGAGAGAGCAGTTTCAGCCTAGTGGTAGGGTCAATCAGAAGACAGACTGCAAAGAGTTAAGTGAGATGTGAGGGAATGGAAGTAAGGAGTATAGATTACTCTATTACTCTTTCTAAGAGCTCGGCTGTGAAATCAATCAGTCAATCAATAAACATTTATTAAATGGCTGCTATATGCCAGGCACTGCCTTTAACTGCTAAATGCTGTGAAAGGGTGGAGGGATAAAAAATGACGGTCTGAAGGAATGACTAGGTCAAGTGAAGGTTTTTTAAAGATGGAGGAGACCTGGGAATGTTTGTAGGAGGTGAGAGAAGGCAGCGGTTACAGAAGGAGAGACTGAAAATAAGAGGGAATGATTGAGGGGTTAGGCTCCCGGAAAGAAAGAAAAAGTATGGAATGAAGAGCACATAAATCTTTCAAAAGAGAAACACACCAATAAAAACTGCTCGTAGAGCTGAGAATTAGTTCAACTATTCTGGAAAATAACTTGGAATTTGGCTTAAAAGTTACTAAAATATCAATATCCTTTGGGCCCAGAGACCCCCTAGCTAGGTATATGCCCCAAGGAGGTGAAAAACAGAAAAATTCTGAAATATTCACAATAGCATTTTTTTTTTGGCAGCAAAGAACTGGGAAAAAAAGGTAGGAGCCAATCAGTTGGGGAAGGACTCAACAAACTATAGTACATCGATTATGCTGCTCTCTAAGAGGAGATAAATATAAAGACTTCAGAGATGCGTGGGAAGACTTAAATGAACTGATGCTGAGTGAAATAAGCAGCTCCAGGAAATCAACATTTACAAGGATTACAATAATGTAAATGGAAAGAATAATAACAAAAATGAAAGTGAACACTGCATAATAATAATGGCCAAGCTTAGCCCTGGAGAAGAGATAAGAAAATGCATCTCCCTTCCCCCCCTTGTGGACATGGGGTACTGTGGGTGTGGAATATGGTGTGTATGGGTGTATATACTATGAGACTCAGTTGATGTGTTGGTTAGTTTTACTGAATTGCTTTTTTCCTTCCTTTAAAATCATTGTTAGATGGGATGGTTCACCTTTTTAGAGGGCAGGGGAGAGATATACTTCAAAGTCAAGGTGATAGAACATCAATATAAATTTTTTTCACCAACAATGTAAGGCTTATTAACTATAATAGTTACAGTAGAATCTCTGCTCTCCTCCCCTGCAAAATTGGGCTTTCCAAATTAGAGAAGGCATCAACCATTTAACAAGAGAATATCCAACCTTCAGGATAACTAGTAATGCACCTGTCTGTAATACATACCCACAGCAAATTTCCCAGCAGCCCCAGCCAGTGTCTAGGGCTAATTTCCGACCTACTAGGTTTAGGGAGTTGCCTGAGGCAAGCAGAAGCCTGGTCAGTGTTACAAAGGATGCAAGTGTCAGAGGCAGGATCAATGGTTTCTAAAAAGAGTACAGGTAGAGAGGTATTGACCTTGGCAAGAAGGGCCACCTTTTTCTCAGAGATTGGAGCATAAGAAAGGAGAATGGGAGATGATGTGGAGAGATTTTAAGGCACATAGAAGAGGAGAGGGAAATCATAACATGGCTTCTTCATTCTAAGTAAAATTGGATTTGAGGTCCTCTGCTGAGAAAGAGGTTAGATCATGCACTGGATAAGGTGCTGGGTCCGGAGTTAGGAAGACCTCAGACACTTAAAAGCTGTGTGACTCTGGGCAAGTCATTTAACTCGGTTGGCCTCAGTTTCCTCCTCTGTAAAATGAGCTGGAGAAGGAAATGGCAAACCACTCCAGTATCTCTGCCAAGAAATCCCAAATGAGGTCAAGAAGAGTCGGACACCACTGGAAACAACTGAACAAGTTAAGAAAGAGGAGTAGTTTACAGTACGGATGCTTAGAGGAAAAAGGTTTGGAGAGTGTGTCTAGGGAGTGAATCAAGGAAGGAAAGCAGGACTGTGGTGCAGCAGTGAGGGCCTTGAGAAGCATGAATTTGTAGTGTAAAATTGTGGTACATGAATATAATGGAATATTATTGTGTTGTAAGAAAAAGCCAACATGATGAATACAGATATAGATGCATGGAAAGACTTTAATGCAAAGTGAGCAGAGCCAAGAAAGCAACACCCAAACAAAACCCAAGACTACAACATTGTAAAGGGAAGGAACAATCACAAAACAATTGGAAACGAATCTTGTGAAAATATAAAAAACAAACATGGTCCCCTAAAACAGATAGATGATACCTCTCTAAATTCCTTTGTAGAGGTATAGGGTGAGGATGGGGAGGGGAGTGCTGTGAACAGGTGTAGAACATTGAAAATAATGTGTTGGGTTTTTTTAATGTATTGTTTGTTTTGCTGGATGGGGGCGGTTCTTCCTCTTCCTCCTCTTTTCCTTTTTTCTTTTAAGATTATATATTATAAGGGAGGGCACTGTGGGAGAGGGAGGGGGAAAGTACAAGGGGAAATCTAGGTTATGTAAAAATAAAAGATATCAATACATTTATTTAAAAATTTTGTGTTATACCTGGTACACAAAGATGTGTGACTTTTCCTATTAGCAATCAACATCACTTGATGTTAGTTGTGGTTAGTGGGGATTACCCCAGGTTGGAGTTTGACAAAGTATGACTGAAGATGGGACAAAGGAACAAGGAATTCCAGGGTAGATGATAATATATAAGTGAACTGTACAATTATAATATCAAGATCACGAAGGGAGGAAAGTGAGAACAGAGGAGACAGATGGGAAGAACAAGGCAGGCCTGGAAGTTGTGGTGAGGATAACAAATAAGTTTAGGAAGTGAGGCAGAGGGAGAGATAGAAGGATAGGGGGTTATGATAAGAGAGGAATTTTAGAGTTCTGGATTATGGAGGTAGTACAGTATAGGTAAATAATGGTGAGTTAAAGGGTATATCCCTGTAAGTGGATAATTTGGGGTGAAGATACAGATCGATGAGAATTGAAAGGCTTGATAAATAGAAGAGGGTATTTGAAGGGACAGCAATATATATAGTCAAGTTCTTAAGTATGAAGGCAGGATCTAAGATGGAAAAAAAAGCTGTGAGATGTGTTAGGAATTCCTTGAAGGAGAGAATTTTGAATAAACAGTAAGTGCAGCAAAGTAAGAAGGACAACTATCAATTGGGGGAAAATGCATCAATTATCTTTGATAGTGAACTGCTGTGGAATATATAGGACATTAACAAAATATATGGCCAAGAGCTATTCTTCAAATGATAAATGGTTTAAGGATATGAGTAAATAATCCTCAAAGGAACTGCAAATTATTAATAACTATATGAAAGTACTAATCCAAAGTACTAATAATGAGTAGTAAAAAAAAAAAGAAGTTTCACCTTTCAATTTATCAGATTGGCAAAGATAAAAAAAGATGGAAATAGTCAAGTGTTAAAAGGGGTTGTAGGGAAAGTAGGTATACTTACACTCTGTGGAGCTGGGAATTGATCTATTCCAAAAACTAATTTTAAAAGGTGACTAAAATGCTCGTGCCCTTTGACTAGAGATCCCATTGCTAGGCATGTAACCCAAGGAGATCAGAGGCAAAAAGAAAAGGCTACATGTATACCAAAATATTCATAGCAATACTTCTTGTGGTAGCAAAGAACTAGAAACAAGGTAAGTGACCATCAACTAGGGAATGGCCAAACAAATTGTGGTATATGAGTGTGATGGAGTATTACTATGTCATAAGAAATGATGAATATGAAAAATTCACAGAAACATGGGATATCTTATATGAAATGTTACAGACAAATGTAAACTAGAATCAGGAAAACAACATTCACAATTACTATAGTAATGTAAGTAGAAAGAAGGAGAAACTGAATGGTAGGAAAATATTAAGATTTGAGAAAATGCACTTCCCTTCATTGCAGAAATGGGGTAGTGTAGTTGTGGATTATATCATCAGCTGACCAACTCAGCAGATGTGTTGGTTCATTTTGGTGAGTTTTTTCCTTTTTTTTTTTTAAATCTTTGTTACAAGGGATGGCTCCCCAGTCAATTGGTTAATGGTTAAATTACGGCATATGAATGTAATGGAATACTATGGTACTGTAAGAAATGATGAAAGGGATGGTTTCAAAGAAACCTAGGGAGAGGCAGAGTGAAATGAGCAAAACCAGAATAACAATTTATATAGTAACAGCAACACTTTAAAGACCAGTTTCGAAAGACTTAAGAACTGATTAAACACAATGACTAACCATGATTCCACAGGATTGATAATGAAGCATGCTGAGGTGATATGCTACAGAATGAGATATATTCTAATTCTGCACATATATATGTATGTGCATACACACACCCAGATATATACGCAGCATGGCCAATGTGGGAATTTGTTTTGTTTATCTATCCTTATTTGTTATGAGAGTTCTGTTTTCCCTTCCCCCGCAATGGTGGTGATGAGGGAAGGGGATAAAAGAGAATTTTGTTCATGGTAAAAATAGAATATATGTATACATGTATACACACACATAAAGAAGAGACAGTTCCCTAAGTGGTGAATGGGAGGGATATCTTTGAATATGAATGTGATGTTTAAAAAAGTATCAATAAAAAGAAGACAAAAATTTAAAGGAGAATGGTCTGGAGGCCAGAAGATGACTGCAATAAAGATCTGGACTGGGTGATAAATATGGAAGAAGTGAAACTCAGAAGTAGAAGAGGTCATAGGGGTTGGTCTGTGGCAGTTAAGCGGCAAAAAATGGGCTCATTCCTCTCCTGGATCAAGATTTTTGGGCCCATGAGAGTATTGCCCCATACTGCAGATTCTGTGTCTTCTGGAGAGTCAAGTTTCCATTAGCCTCAAAAGATAGAGAGGATTTGAAGGGATCCAGGGTGAATGGGGGAGTTCCAGAAGGTGGAGGATATGTATGGTGCCCGTGGGGTAGAGATAGAGATGAGATGTCTGGAGAGATAGTGGGAAGAAAGGTTATTTGTCTCAACGCAGGGATGAGAGGAGTAGGAGCTGGGAGCTTGCCAGCTATAAAATGGGAGGAAGATCCAGTTGATTGGGGAATCCCACCTCTCTGGTGCCACGTGGACTGAGTATGATCAGGTGCTGTAAGTTTCCATTGCTGAACACTCTAAACCCAGGTGAGCTGGACATTTAGATTGTGGGTAGAGGCAGCAGGGACTTCTATCTGGTTCTTTTGGTCACTGAACAACTGGTGTTCCACTCTCTAGTGAGGTTGAATTCCTATTTGTGATGGCAGCTCCATAATCTCATCCCAAGATTGTGGGAAACGAGGCATACATAGAGGATGTGGAGCAGGTACCCAGAATGCCAATGCATAATAAATGTTTGAAATGAACTGAATTGAACTGAAAAGCCCAGGTTACATAGAATTCCCTTGCATTCTGAAAAGTAGACCCCTTGAGACCTGTGATAGAACCCAGCCCCTTGCTCTGGGTTGGACAGGAAGATGAAGAGCTAGGGTGGATGGTACCCAAAGGCAAACAGTCGTCCAGATGCCCCTGGAGGGCACCAATAGTAGTGTGTCCCCATTACCTTTACCTTTCCTTAACCTGAGCACTGCCTTCTTACCTTTCCCTTTAGCTGCTGCCCTGAGGTCTCCCTACCAAGGCCTACCTTTCTGCTTTGGGGGATTGTAGGTGGCTCAGCTTGGTGACTTCACAATTCAAGCCTCACCAATCCCAGAATTCTCCCTGTGATGTCAGTTGGTGCCCAGGAGGAAGTGGGGGTGGGGTGATGGGACAGAAAGGGAGGATGGCAACCATGCTAGCAAAAATCCTAAACTGGGCTGGTCAGCCAAATGATTCTACTGCCTCATCTCTCTTCTCCAAAACCCGTCCCCAGGAGCCAGATCTGCTGGCCGTAAACAAAACATGTAGGGAGGTCATGTGAAATGAATTAGGATTCAATGAAAGGAGGCAGTGTGGTTTACCAGAATAAGCCCCAGACTGAAGAGACTTGATTCAAATCCCAGTCTGTTACTGGCCACATATAGCCCTGGTTATATTACTACTTCTCTAAGAGGCCTGTTTACTCATCTGTATGCTGGATTACAGGATTACAGACCTAGAGCTTCAAGGGACTTGAGGCCATATAGTCCAATCACTTTATTTTATGAATGAGGAAACTGAAACCCAGGGAGGTTAAGGGATTTGATTCCGTAACATAGATAATATGCATATTTTCTCCCATATTAGCCATGCTGTAAAAAAAACACAGACCAATCTAAAAACCCAAGAAAAATAAAAGTTTAAAAAAAGTATGCTTCAGTTTGTACTCGGACACCATCAGTTCTTTCTCTGGGGAAGAATAGCATTTTTCATCATAAGTCCTTCAGAGTTGGCTTGGATCACTGTATTGCTGAGAACAGTTAAATCATTCACAGTTGATTATCATACAGCATTGCTGTTACTGTGTACAATGTTCTCCTGGTTCTGCTCAATTCACTTTGCATCAGTTCATGTATGTCTTTCCAGGTTTTTCTGAGAGCATCCTGCTCATCACTTCTTATAACACAATACTATTTCATCACAACACATAACACAACTGGTTCAGCCATTCTTCAGTTGATGGACATCTCCTCAATTTCTAATTCTTTGCTACCAGTAAAGAGCTGCTACAAATAGATAATAAGCATTTGAAGCAGGATGTCGGACTAGATCACACCTAGGGTCCCTTCCAGCTCTCCTAACCTATGAATATAGGAAAAACATTTTCACTAAAAATGTTAAAAAATAATTTTGTTGCCAAAGTGAGCCAATGATGATATCAAAGGAGTACTATGTCATTTACATTTGGAAAACTATTTCTTGAAAAAAACTGTCCACAAGTGATTCTAAGTTCATATACCTTATCTCAAAATAATTTTCACACCAAATGTCAGGATATTCTCAATGACTACCCCCTTATGAGTATAGATAGCAATTATAATTTGTGGTGTATAGATACGCACATTGCTTCCATAACCTGGCTCCCTTGGTCAGCAGGCATATTAAGCACTTATTCCAATCAAGCACATTGCTAAGAGCTGATAATACAAAGAATGGTAAAAACAAGGGTCCCTGGACTCTAGAAGTTCACATTTGAATGAAAGAAACAATATGTGAAGAACAAGGTAATACACGATAGTTTACATAAAAGGTAATCTCAAGATGAGGACACTGGGGATGGAGGAGGTTTCAAGGAAAAGGCTTCCAGCAGGTAGGAATTGAACTGAGTCTTTTTTCACCCCCCTAGGCAATGGGGTCAAGTGACTTGCCCAGGATCACACAGCTAGTGAATGTCAAGTGTCTGAGGTCGTATTTGAACTCAGGTCCTCCTGACTCCAGGCCCAGACTCTCTCCACTGGGCCATCTAGCTGCCCCTGAACTGAGTGTTGAAGGAAGCCATGGAAGACAGGAGTTGGAAAAGAGGAAGGAGAGTATCTGGGCAAGGAATATCATGTGTAAGTACCAGTCAATGTAGAATCCCTAGAGAATTTTAAAAGCCGGAGGATCCTGGAGCTAACAGGGAAACCCATGGAGTCTGGCTGGGTGAATGACACGGTCAAACTGAATTTTAGGGAAATCATTTTGGCAGCAAAGTGGAGAAGTGTTGGGATAGGGAAGAGAGGGAGAAAGACCAATCAGGAGAAAACAAGCCCAGGGAGGTCTGAGGAGATTATGATGAGTATAGAGGGAAATGAGAGTAGTTCTGGACAGGCCTTTGGGGGACACCCACGCCTCGTGGGTGTAACCTGGACAAAAATCCAGCAGATGAGACCGAGGGACAGAACCAGGAGAGAAGTGCCAAGAAAACCTAGAGAGAATATTTAAGGTGAAAGGGCGATCGTGTCAAAGACTGAAGAGGTCAAGAAGGATGAGGATTCAATATTTCTTCATTTGTGAAATGAGGGCCTCCTGCTTCTCTCTCCCACACACCGAGTAGGTGCCAGGTGAGTGTGGCTTGGGGGATTTGCCCCATCTGCTTTCTTTGCTTCAGAGAGCACAACACCTGGCCAGCTGCTCAGGCCCTCTTATGTAGTTTGTTGCCTTCTGGGTTGCAACTCTTTCTCACCACCCTCTTAGGGATGGCTGAGGTGGCAGCTTTCAAGTTTTCAGTTATTATTTTCCAGCTCAGTCCACATGACATCATCACCTATACCAAACGGAGACCAGACAGAGAATGGTGCCAAGAAATTTATTATCCAGCAATCTGCTGGGAACCAATGGCTTTGATGAGATAGCAGTAACTTTGAAGGGATTAAAAAGCACACTTACACAATAGCTGCAAGATTCATAAATTTGTTTTAACTGTCTTTATTGACAAAAAAAATCACAGCATTTCAAATATTATTCAAACACTAACAGTAGCAAAGGGCACCAACAAGTGCCAGACACAGTGTCACACGTCTGGACTGCAGGTGACACTGGAGGGCATGGCAGTCCTCTCCCTGCTGGGATACTGCCCCTTTCTCTCCTGATATCTCTGGCCCCTCCCCCCCAGCACCTCAATGTCACCCCTGAGATCAGTTACAAATGTGCGGAAACAAAGACACTTTAGAGGAGGTTGGGCCTTTCCATGCCTCCCCATTTCACTGCCATGAAAACAGATTAGGCCTCAGGAAACCTCCTTATGGAGATGCCAGCCCTTTCATTGCACTGACCCGACAATCTCATTAGCACTTGGTTGCTAAGAGGGGAATAAAAAGGCAGACAGGGTGCACCTCTCAACACTGCTGTGCTGAATACAGCTGACAAGACTGGATAACTTGAGAAAGTGGACCAAGTTGATAGGTCCATCTCCAGGGATAAGGCTTTTGTCTAGTACATTAACTTCGTTCATAAAGGGCCTCTATAAGAAAAATTTTCACTGTAGCTTGAACTGTAGAAACCAAATCAATTGAATCATCTGTTGCATTAATTCTAGAATCTGGAAGAGTACTGGACTAATTTCTAAAACTGTCGGAAACTTAGTTTTTAATGATATTGGGCCACAATGGAGGAAACCTGCTAAATACCAATTAGCCTGTAAGAAGCTTGAAGGCAGGGACCTCATCCCACATTACTTGTTTATTTCTCAAGCACCTGGTAGCACTAGCCACGTGGTAGATGCCTGATATTTCCTGATAATCTTAAAAAGGAAACACAGGCTATTCTAAAGGAATTTGACAGGCTATTAAACCAAATTTTAGTTTATTTACCTAATAGGTGCCAGCTCAGACAATCTCCTAGTCAATCTTCTTTCCATCTGAAACCTGTATTTTGTGTTCTAGGTACCTAGGCTTGGGTCCTGGGTTAGGGATTAACCCCACAACCATCGTCTTTATCACAGGACGCTGGTTCTCAGGCATGCCTCAAATGGTCTGATTCCATAAGAGGCAAACAGGAGGTTTGAAGCCTCAAACAAAAAGACAAAGAATTTAGGCGGAAGACCCTAGATGAAGCCTCTTTCCTCTGGTGACATGCCTGCCGCCTGTGGTGAACAGCTGAGTAGTACCTTTTTCACACCCACCCAAATCTCCCTCAACACAGCAGCCCTTCCTATTACCTTCACACTGTGGTTCTTTTCTTGACTAAGAACTTCTTCTCTGAAAGAGACGATGGCGTTGATGTTAACGTCTTGATAAGTCTTGTGGGGCTGTTCTCAGCATTCTTATGTGTCTTCTGATTTAGATGATGTTTCTTTGCTGTGAAAAAGTACTGGATAAGGGCTGAAGTTTTACATTACCAACACTGGTTTTATATGCATACAACTACACACACACCCAAGTATTACTGAGGCTCAGTCAAGGTATACAAGTTACCAGATCATACAAAAGGAAGAGGGACACAAGGGAGAACCAGACCAGGTAATCTGACAAAGGGTCAGTCCATCTAAGCACTGGTCCATCACAAGTTCAAAAGGCAATTGGCAGTAGACAGTTTCAAAACACTGTCAGTCCAGACTTGCCCTGATCCCACAGAAAGAACTTCTATCTAGTGAACATGATAGCTGAGTAGCACAGAGGTCTGAAAGTGCTCCCCCCAAAACCCCTCAACTCAGCCAGAACCCTAATACCAGTTTATGCTTCCTAGGGAAACTGTGTGTATATCTTTAGTAAAACACCACAACATTGTACGTTATCAGGGATAAAGGAAGGAATATTTGGCCCCTTATAGACTCAAACACAGTAACTGGAAATGCCAGAAACATCCTAGATGCAGTTCCTTTGTTCACTGCCTAATAGAGGACGCCAAACAAGTAGTTTTGGATTAGACATGACACTGTAGGGAGAAAGGTGACAGGTGTTGAAGGGAGGCATAGGAGAAGGGCAAGACCTCAAAACTACCATCCAAGTAAGTACGTACACTAGTATGGTACAGAATCACTGAAGCATCCGTGAGTCCTATTGGCTAAAATCAGAAATCCAAGAGAGGCATATACAAACACTGCACTTTCATTCAAGGCATTCTCAAAAAGAGGGTCACAGAAGTCAACAATACTTTGCAACAATACATGGCAACATCACAACAATTTTGGCAACTTCCCCCCCTCCCCCCAAGTTCTGTGCCAGCTACTGCCAGGAGTTCACAGGCCAGCAGAGGGAGACAGGACCAACAGGGGGTGGAGGGAGGCTGCAGAGGCAGCTGAAGTACTCAAATAGAAACTCTCATTTGTCTGCTGGTTAAGTAGCCCACCTGTTGGATAGATAGAGTACAGAACAAAAGTCTGCCTCATATCTTCTGCAGCAAGTGCAGGGGACACAGCAGGGCCTTAGGAGCATCCTCGCTGTCAGAGGCAAGCAAGGCAAAGCTGAACAAGGCAGCACTAAGTGCTAGCAAGCACTTGTAACCCCGACCAGACCGGCCAGATTGCTTGGGATCTTGCGGGACACAAGGGAAAAGGAGCCACAGTCTTCCTCTAACTCAAAGATGGGTCCATTCATAGCTCCTGTGGGAAGATGGCAAATTTAAGTGATGTGAGATAAGTTTAAGAGACGTAAGCATCTCTTAATCCCAGAGCCTGAGTTCAACAAAGACACAAGGCTTTCCTCAAATTTATTTAGAACCCAATTCCAAAATTGGGAAACTGACACATAAAGCAAAGATGAAGTGTTTCAGTGTCAAGAATCAACTTTCCTTTAAAAATAAAAGTTTTTCTGTTGTCAATCTGTGCTAGATTTCTTTGCATCTGCTGTACCCGTTTGAAGAAATGGGGGGGAGAGGAAGGAGAGTGATGTTGAGTAACTGCAAATTTCCAACTTAGTGAACCTTGGAATGAACACGTGGCAAGCCCAGGTAGGAATCCTGTTTTTCACCTGATCCAGCCATCTATGGAGCACAGGTTGGCTATATATGTCCTTGTCCTCCCCTCTCCCCAGATCTTAGTAAAGGAGCCAACTAGGAACCTGGCACATCTACTGTGAAGATCTGTTTATAGCCCTGGCTAAGAAAACAAAGGCAGGTTTCTGAAGAAGAACTCTTTAGGTAGGAGTCTCATCTGTTTTTTTAGTTTCCTACGGTGAGGGGGGGAATCCTTTGGTTTCGGCCAGAATGATTCTCCATTGGTGAGCCACGTTCAGCTTTGCCTTGCCTTCAGTATGGTTACCATGCAAGAGCAAGGCTGAACTTTGGAGAGATGCTCTGTTGGATTGACCTATTGATGTCTTCAGGACTTCAGTGGAGCCAGATTCTTAGTTCACATCCGAGAGCCTCGTTCCTGAAGAATCTGAAAGAGGATGAGGTGAGAGATTCAGGTTTGAATTGTGGTTTCAGCTTATTATTAAAATGGAGACTGCTAGGCTGATTGATGTAAGGAGAGAGATGTATGGCTACTTATTAGACAGCCTTTGAAGAGCAGTTTAACTATTTAGGACATAGAGGGAGGGTACATCAGAAGCCTTGGTCTCACTTGGCAGAGTGTAACCTGCTCTTTAACAATGTGACGGTCAAGCCTGCCAACTGCTGTGGTTGAAATTCTGCTGTTTATCAACAGTTCAAAGTGAGGTCTAAGATCTGTATGTCGACAGAACAATAACAGCCTTAGGAACCTTAATTTTGAGAGTGGCTCTCATGAAGGCTCATGCCATGGATTTGGAACATTTTTTAGGATAGAGATATATTTTTATCAGTCTAAGATACTAGGTCTTTCAAGGTTCATGGAAAGATACCATATGGCATACTGACTACAGGAAATCAATCATTTAATAAAGATAGTAGAGAAAGGATACAAAAAGAAATATTCAAGTCTCATCAACCACAAAGCTACCCTCTGGGCCTCAGGATGCTCAACTCTGGATTACAGAGCAGGTTTATCTAACCAGAAAATCCAGCATTTTTAAAGCCAAAGATTAGGATCAAGGCAGCCCACTCCACTTTGTTGACCATCCTTTTTTAGAGTCATTAAATGAAGAAATGTCCATGAGAACATTATTAACTAGTTCTGAACACTTACTATAATGGAGATTGGTCAGTACCCAAGGAGACCCTAAACCTAGGTGGCATGGCCTTGTGCCAACTCCATATCAGTTTTATGTCCGCATGTGCAATGACCCCTAGACCAAGAGGAAGGCTAGTCTTTTCTATTCTTTGCTCTGGGCAGCCAGGGAACCACATAAATAAAACACAGTTTACACAAAATAATAAAGATTCCACTAAGTCTATATGTGGCCTAAGGACATGCCTTAATTGACCTAATTCTCCTGAGACAGTTTCTGAACTTCAAGGCATGCTATACAGACCATTACAAGTATAATAAATATATTCATATAAAGGGAAAAAATTGAGGGGGGAGGAGTGAAAAAGATGAAGACATTTCCTGTGGAGGAAAGAGTGATGACAACTACTCAAAAGAGTAAAGGTACTCAAAAGGAGTATGATGCTTTTCAATGAGCACATGTCAGAACTGTCAGTTTATAATATTTAAACCAGAGGTGGGGAGCCTTCGGCCTCTGGGTTACAGGTTCCCCATCCCTGATTTAAACAGTAGAGAGGTTTTGTTTTTAATTAACTCTTATTTCAAGAAACTGCAAAAGCCCATTCCAATTTGTCAAGTTCACAATTCCTAATTACAAATCTCCACTCCTCCAACAGTTTTGAAAGCAAAAAGGCAGGGCCAGTGTTTAGTCTAAAAAAATCAAGGAACCACAATGCAGGTAACAATGCAAAGCCAACCTTGGCAGGAGATGGGAGGAATGATAAATGCCAGTTAAGACTAAAGACCTTGACAGATTTAGGGTGGAACAATCTCCCTCCCCCGAAGTAGCCAAATTTCTTACCTTTGCCTTCTCACTAGGCTCTATGACAATACCATTAGTAGAGTTATTTAGCTCCCTGGAGACAACACAGAGGAATTCTGTCTGATCCTCATTTCCATAGCTATAGGAAGATCCAATATTTATTAGCTGAGAAAAGAAGGAAGGGCAGAATGAATACAGAGTCAAGATTTGTTTTTCTATCTTTTGACACACCCTCATAGATGTACCTACTCAGCAGAATCCAACATAAACTTTCAACAAGAATATTCCTCCTTGAGGAACATATAGTATAGCTTTCCTTCTAAAAGGATAAAGAACTCCTGAAGTTCCAAGTCCCTGTGTTGATAACAGAAACTCTGTAACTAATCAGAGAACAGTCTTGAATGAAGCCAACAAATACAAAATGGAGGCGAAAATCACTAGAAATACAATCCTAATAATTAAAAATCACATTATCAATCCCAAATCAAACAATGAGGAATGAAATAGAATGTTTTTTGTGAAAAATTGTTAATGATAATAGATATCATCTTCCGTCAAAACTTCTATGTGCAGAACTGATAGGGGAACTCTACCAGAGAAATAGTTACCACATTGATGAGATCTCTAAGGCACCAAGTAAACCTTCTGCCCAGAGACTAAAGTGCTTCCAACTTCTGGAATGAACTAGATTCAATATCTTATTCTGGGCAGGAAACAATCAGTATGGAGAAGCTGAGTCTGGAAACAAGGATGGCTGATTGGTACACACACTAGACTGGGAGTTAGGAGACCTCTGTTCCACAGCACGTGCTGGCTGGCTTCCCTCCTGGGATTGACATGAGGAAATCACTTAAAGGAATCACTGATATTTTGCCTTCTCCATCGCGGTGTAAAATAATGAATTTAACTTGTAATCTCTTTCTTTAGAAGAATGTTTCAGCATCAATCAATCAACAAGCATTTCTTTCTTTCTTTTTTTTTTTAAAACAAGTATTTCCTTAAGTGCTTACTCTATGCCAAGCACTGTGCTAGTAAGCACTGGGAGAGTTAAAAAAAAAAAAGCAAAAACAATCTCTGCCCTCAAGGAGCTTAAGTTCTAACAGGGAGACAAGGTTTACATAAATCAATAAATACAAGATAAATACAGAGAACAGAGGGAAGGCAGCCTTAGAGAAGGCATTAGCAGCTGGGAGGTCTGGGAAGATGGTGCCACTGGAGCAAACACTCAAAGGAAGCCAGGGATTCTATAAGGAGGAGACTAGGAGGGAAAGACAAAGAAAAAGGAGATGAGCATCATGTATGAAGAACAGAAAGCAGGTCAATAAAACTGGACCATAAAGTTTGTGGAGGGAAGTAATATGTTAAAAAACTGAAAAGATAGGAAGTGGCCAGGTTGTGAAGAGGAATTTCTTTTTGTTCTTAGAAATGATAGGAAGCCATTGGAATGTATTGATTGAGAGGGGGGAGTCTAGTTAGAAGGCTATTCGTAACAGTCCAGGTAAGAAGAGATGGGTAGTGACTGTGAGAGAAAGGGCAGAGGTGTTGTGGAGAAAGGAGCAGTAAGATTTGGCAAGTGACTGCATGGACACTGGAGAGAATGAGAGGAGTTGAAGATGGCCTCAGAGGTTGAGATCCCGGGTGACACTGGGAAGAGCAGTGGTGCCCCAACAGAAATAGGGGTGTTTGGAAGAGGGGAGGGGAAGGGTGTTCCAGGTGAAAGATTGTACACTTTTGAGTTTGAGACCCACCTCCAGGACACCCAATTTGAAAAGTTCAATAGGTAGTTGATGATACAGAGACTAGGCCTCGATCAACAGATCTGGGAATGACTGACATGGATACCTGAATCCACGGGAACTGGTGAAAAGGACAAATAAGTAATAAAGCAAAAGAGAAGACAGCTCAGGACAGAGTCTTGGGGAGCACCTATGGTTAGTGGTTGTAATTTAAATGAAGAACAATATGAAGTGATCAGACAGATAGGAGAACTAACAGAGGACAGTGTTATAAAAACCCTGAGAGGAGAGTCTTCACAAAGAGTGGGTGGTCAGTACTATTAAACAGTGAAGAAATGTCAAGAAGGATGAGGACTGATAAAAGGCCAGTACATTTGGTTACTCTGCAGAGGGCACTATTAGTTGCATTATGAGGTCAGAAACCAGATTTCAGAGGGTTTAGAAGAGGCATTTTTCCTTCTTTCTTTATATCCTTTACTAAAGAAAAAAGATCCATGTAGAAGCTTTTGCTTCCTTCTCTCTCTTCTTTGACTGTCACAGGTTCATTTATCATTTTTACACAGAGGATCCCAAATCCACATATTCAGCCCTAGTGTATCTCCTGAGCTCCAGTCCCGTATCATTGACTCCCTGCTGGACAATTCCATCTTAGTACTCAACAGTATCTCAAATTCAGCATGACCATAATGGGATTCACTATCTTCACCCCTAAACCTGGCCTTCCTCCACACTTCTCCATTTTTTCTGGAGCACCATTTTTCCAGGCATTGAGGTTCATGACCTTGTAATCATCCTTGATTCTTCACTTGCTATCACCTCCCACAATCAGTCAGTTGCTAAATTTTGACAATTTAAACTCTACAACATCTCCTGCATCTATCTCTACACAGTTACTGCACTGGTTCAGGCTGTTATCAGCTCTTGCCTGGACTTTTGCAATAATGTAATTGGCTTCCCTTTTCCAATCTCTTCCTTCATTAATCAACTTAACTTAATATTCTTAAAACACAGGTCTGACCATATCACTATCCTGCTTGAGAATATTTCATGGCTTCCTATTCCCTCTAGGTTAAATATAAACTCCTCAACTTTGACATTTAATGACCTTTATATATGGCTTCAGTCTATCTTTCTAAACATTTCACATTATGCCGCCTCACACACTCTTTGTTCTAGCCAAACTAGCAGGTGCAATAATAAATGCTTGCTGAATATATCTGGCACCCTTTCCTAGAATCTACCATGTCCAATTATTTAATTACAAGCTCCCTGAGAGTAAGACTTTATTTTAAGAATATTTGTATTTCCCTCAGTGCCTTGCACCATCTTATACATAATAGGTGCTCAACAAATTTTTTACAAAAAATTAACAAAGTTGGCATGTTCCAAAACAGAACTGATTATGGAAGGAAAAGTTAAGTGTAATGATTCTGGAAGTGAACAGAAAGATCACTGAATTAATTTAATCCAATGGTACAGTTAGCTGAACTAAGAAAATTTTGTTTTGGAAGAAAAATGGACATTTTGATAATTAAACAGTCCTGTCTAATAAGCTGTACTTGAAAACAAGTATGATGCACAAAAAATTAATTCTTTCACTCTGTTCATGTCATTCTGAGTTAGTTTTTTGTTCTGGGAGAGGCTGGTAAAGTTGGACAATTCTGCCACCTTAAGGAAAAAAACAGTAAGCTTCTGGCTGGACAAACTCCAAAGCTTTGGCACTTGAATGGCCTCTACAGAGCCACGGAAATCATGCACGAAGAGCCCCATAACCCTTACTCAGCAAAAGTTCGATTTGTAAACATCTTTGTACATACTGTCTTTCCTCACAGAATGTTAATAAGCTACTTGAAGGCAGGGACAATTTCCCATTTGTTTTTATATTCTCACTGCATCAGTGGCTGGCCCATAATAAGGCATTTGATAAATGCTTGTGGATTGATTGGTTATTAACTGAACAAGAGATGGTCAAGATTTATTTCTCAATGAATTTAAACCCTTTCATATTGTACCACTAGTTATATATGTTTCGTACTCAGGATCACTGGAAAGAAAGACAATTCCACTGTCTATATGAGAATAGTTTGGTAAATAAAGTTTGTTTTTCTATTTTTTCCCCTGAGGACAGGACGAAACTTTGAGAGGAAAAAAGTAACAAGGGTTTAAAGTTATAGAGGGCCTCTTAACACATTCACTCAACAAAGAGAGGAATTAGAAAGTCCAAGTTTTATTCTTTTTTTTTTTGGCTAGGCAATGGGGTTAAGTGACTTGCCCAGGGTCACACAGCTATTAAGTGTCAAGTGTCTGAGGCCGGATTTGAACTCAGGTCCTCCTGACTCCAGGGCCAGTGCTCTATCCACTGTGCCACCTACCTGCCCCAAGTTTTATTCTTAAATCCACTGTATCTAACATGTCATCCCCAACTCCTCATTCTCACTCATTCCACACATCCAATCATATGCCAAACACTGTAATTTCTTTCTCCACAACATCTTTGGGTACACACCTTTCTTTCTACTCATAGCCACCACTCTAGTTCAGGTCCTCATTACCTCTTGCCTAGACTAAGCCTCTTGCCCCTCTGCTTCACCTTCTACAAAGCTGCTAAAGTGATTTCCCTAACTGTTGGTCTGACCACAACTCTCTACACCTCTACAAATAAATATAAACTTCTCTGTCTGGCATTTAAAGGTCTTCACAACCCAGTTTCTTCCTATCTTTCTAATCTTCTTTCACATCACTCCCCTTCATATCCTCTATGGTCCAGCCACACAGGCCTATCTCCTATTCCTCACACACAAAGCTTCACCTCCCATCTCTCTACTTTTGTACTGGCTACTATCTGTGCTTTCCTTCCAAATTTCTGCTTCTAGGGTCCTGGGTTTTCTCCAACAGCTCAATGGCCACCTGCTAAAAGGAAGCCTTTCCTACCTCTCTACCCTACCTCCCCTGCCCCACCCACTCCAACTGCTGGTGCCTTCGGCCCAAGGTTTTCTAGTATTGATTTATGTCATATATACATACTCATCTGTCTCCATCACTAGACCATGAGGTCCTTAAGGACAAGGACTGTTTGGTTTTTACTATTTTTCTAGCACTAAGCATAGTGCTTGGCATATAACAAGCACTTAATAAGTGCTCACTGACTGATTTGGCAAATCTTTCTAAGACTCAGGACTCCACTTTCTCCTTTTGTGCAAAGGGATACCACCTAGACCTAATAATGTCACCAGGATGTGAAAAGGAGAACTGAGAAAGTATAGGAAGAGGTTTGAGCATCTAGACAGACACATCATATAGAATTTAAGATTCTGAACAATTACCTGTTCAAATTTCCAACCATCAGACATAGTAGAAACCATCTGTGTAAGTTCTTCCTCTTGGCACTGCAGAACTCTGTATACATGCTTCACAGGCCCCTATAATAAATAAAAACTGATTTTTGAGTGGCACATTAGGGACTCAAAAAGGTCACCATATTTATCTCTCTTAGAGAGATATATACTAACTCCACATCTAAAAAACCTTTTAAAATGTGGAGAAACAATTCACTTCCCTGATCTCATCAGAAAAGATATGATGCTTCTCAGAATGAGCTAATGGGGAAATGTTAAGCTACTGTGGTTGGAAAACCTCCAAAGAACTTGACTGCAACAACAGAGTCCTGAGCTAAGCTTCTGAGAGCTCTTTTGGAGTGTGAGAAAGCATTACTGGAAGGGATGGGGCATCTAAGAGATTGCAGGGGTTCTCAGCTTTTTTCTGAATGCCATGGACTCCTACGGCAGGGGTCTGGTAAAGCTTTCTCAGAATATTTTCACACACATAAAATAAAATACAAAGGATTACAAAGGAAATCAACTATATTGAAATATTGTCACCAAAATATTTCTCAGTTTAAGAAAATCTTGATATTTTACATATCACATTTACACCTACATATTTACATCTCACAAATAGTAAAGGATTGCCACTTAACAAGAAAACATCTGGTATATGGGTTCCCTGTCTGATTCATCTTTGACTAGAAAGGAGCCAGCCTTTAAGTTGCCTGGCAAGAAAAAACAACAGCAAGACTTTCCCATATAAATCCCTCCAACACAGCAGATTGCTGGAGGCATTGAGAAGGAAAAGGTCCATTTTAATCACATGTGGAAGCTCTGCCCCAAGACAAATCAGTATGGGGTCAAAGTATTTGCATATTTATTGTTGTGGTTTAGTCACGTCCAACTCTGTGCCCACGTGGCTCATAGCATGCAGGCCCTTCTATCCTCCTCTATCCCAAAATCCAGCCAAGCTCATGTTTGGTGTTTCCATGACACTTTCTATCCATCTCATCCTCTGCCGTCCCCTTCTCCTTCTGTCTTATACCCTGATCTCAGGCAATAAAGAGAATATAATTAAATGTATTAAAGGCCAATGTTTGAAAGAAAATAATTATTTTGCTTGATTTGGAAACAAAGTGAGTACTGAACAACTGGAGAAACAACCTTTAACCAAATTGTGGTATGTGATCAGTGAAATATTACTGCACCATAAGAGAATGTGGCAAATTAAGAGATAACCAGAAAGATACATATACAACACACAGAACCAGGAGAACAATTTACAGGATGACTGAAATAACACACAAGAAAAAAAAAATTTTAAAGGCTATGGCAGCAGCTATGAAGGTGCCATTTGGGAAATACTCGACCTACACACACACACACACACACACACACACACCCATCCTTCCTAAGGAGTTTCTCCATCAGTAGGAACAGGTTTTGAAATTAAAGATCCTAAAGGTCTGTACTACAACCTTACTAATTGTGATTATCCCTCTTTCCTTCAGGTGAGTGTTTTTCTGGATGGCTTTCTTTTCCTATGCTGATTTTTTCCCCTTAACTTCCTCACTTTGAGTAGCTAGTTTCAGAATTGTGTGTGTTTGGCTATGCCTGAAGTGTCTCTAAGACTTAGGAATATGCTTCCACAAAGACTAACTGACTATAAGCTGAGCTGTTTTCTCTCTAAGCAGCACATCACTCTTTTTATTCCACACTAAGAAATGGCTAAGATGGTCCTTTGGGCCATTTTCCACATAAAAGTTTAAAACAAATTACTTGTGAGGTTATGTTCTCATTGTCCCGTATCCTTTCCTTAACCAGTCGCACAAGAGATGCAATGTTGTAAAATTCCGCTTCTTCCAAGACACCTAAAACAAGCAATCAAAACAAAATGCTCTGTTCACTCAACTTTGCTCATGAACTTTTGTTTGTTTTTCTAAGATTCTAATCTTTCTTCCCTACTAACTGGAGACGTATCATATCACATTTGTGCTTGAGTTACCTTCTTTTTTTTGTTTTTTTTTGAGTTTTCTTCTTTGGAATTTCTTTCTTACGCGGAAACAGAAGTAAATGACCCAAGGGCAGCTAGGTGGCACAGTGGATAGAGCACCAGCCCTGGGGTCAAGAGGTCCTGAGTTCAAACCGGGCCTCAGACACTTGACATTTACTAGCTGTGTGACCCTGGACAAGTCACTTAACTCTGATTGCTTTGCCAAAAAAAAAAAAAAAAGGAAGTAAATGACCCAAACACTGGGCCACTGTAGACAGTCATATCAGTCTCCAGATTTGTAAAATGAGGGGACTGGACTAGATGGCCTCTGAGGTCTAGAGCTTACAGTTCTGGAGTTATGGTCCATCAATAAGTAGTGTCTTGCTTTCAAGGTGGGAGATATAGTCAAGTTCCCATGATTTCTAGAAGCAACTAGGTAGCCCAGTAGTAAGAGAACTGGACCCGGAGTCAGGAAGATCTGAGTTCAAATCCAGACTCAGACACTTACTAGTTGTGTGACCCTGGGCAAATCATTTAATTGGTTTGATTCAGTTTCCTCATCTATAAAATGGAGATAATAATATCACTTACACCCCAGGGCTGTTTTGAAGACAAAATGAGATATTTATAAAACATTTTGCAAACTTTAAAAGTGCTATGTGTTAGCTATTATTATTTACTCTCATCCTAAACACTTCCTGGTACTGCCAGGAGCAGATGGAGAAAGAGATCATTTTTAATTCTGTGATACTGTCCAAAAGGGAAAAAAGAGATCTTTCACCTATTTAGACTTAATGTACCATAGTGATTTGTACTTGATAAATTAAGAAAACCCAACCAACAGAAAGCCTCTCCATTTTTGCAGATCAAAACAGTTTGAGAAAAATACATTTATATTTAGCATGAGCCTGAACAACTTAGAATCAATCAGCACAGCACTGTAGGTCAAGACTATCTATTATGCTACATTTTTCAGAATCCTGTCCCATAACACTGCCCCAAAATCTGGACTCTGTGGGACTGAAAGGCAGTGTCTAATCTTCTACAAGATGTTCTCAGTGAAAGAGAGCCAATTGTTTTAGAAAAGTGATTAGCTACAGAATCTTGTCTTCTCTAACAATTAAAACTACAGAACAACAAGGAATGAACTTTCAGAATAAAATACATTGGTCATGAAACTTTGTAGGGTTCTCATAGGAGACAGAATCTTAAAGAAATTAGTCCAGGATTTTTTAAAAAAAATACACACTTAGTGACAAATTAAAATAAAAATTGAAAATATCACTTAGTGTGAGTTTTCATGCTTACTGCCATCAAATGAATTCTTTCTTGGACATGATCACACTTAGAAAGGCCTAATAAAAATCACTGTAATGGAGAGAAACCTTTTGAACCCGTATACAAACATGAATTAGGTATTTTCTTTCCCACTAAAGAGAAAGATTGAACACAGAAGTAATCCTTGAAATAAGACCTGATGAATAGCAACTTCCTGCTCGCTTTCATAAACTTAGTGAACATCTCAATCAAAATGTATTAGTGCGAACTAGAGAGGTTGAGTCAACCTATAACTCATAGGGTATTTAAAGACGATCAAGTGAGATAATATAAAAAATTAAGCACTTTGCAAACCGAAAGTGCCATGTAAACATTAGCTATTATAATGATGCTCACGCTGAAAAACACCTGTTCTTACCTTTCTAGCAGTGGTTTCTTACCTTCTTCTGCCAATTCCTTATTAATGATGAGCTTCCCGTGTCGGAGGTAGTTTAGGATAGGACCAAAGTATGTTGGATCTCTGTCAATCAGATAGGCTCCTGTCTCATCCTGTCAGTCAAATATAAGAATTGTATTTCAAAAAGAGCTTTTTTTTTTTTAGTTAGGCAATGGGGTTAAGTGACTTGCCCTGGGTCACACAGCTAGGAAGTATTACGTGTCTGAGGCCGGATTTAAACTCAGGTCCTCCTGAATCCAGGGCCAGTGCTCTATCCACTGTGCCACCTAACTGCCCCCAAGAAGAGCTTTTAAAGTGAGCTAAGACAACACTTCAACTTCCTGTCAATACACAAAGCCTATCCATCTTACTAGTTAGAAAATTTCCAGTAAGATTCCAGGTCATTAAATGCTAAAGCTGGATGGCATCATCTTATTTAATAAGGAAAAATTGACGTCCATAGTAGTGAGGATACTAAAAAAATCACATAACATAACCAGGACTAGATAACAGATCTCTTAACTCCTAAGTCTTTGGCAATTACTAAGGTTTGCCAAGGATAGATTGTTTGTTAGGGACTATGGTATTTGAAAATAAGGGTATGTTTTAGTGTACGCACATCCTATAGTGTGCTAGCTTTTCAATTAGAATGTGATAAAAGTTCGAAATCACACATATATCACTTATATGCTTACACGCTGGGTAAAAAAGTCTGACTAATAAGATTCTTCTAAAAGATGTGTTAGGAGAAAGCATAAGAAGAAAGTCTTATACCATAAGGTCCGTCTCTGGATGGACACCTTTAAATTTTTCCAATGTTTCTGAGTCGATTTCTTGATTCTAAGAAAACCTGCGACTGGCTTTTGAAGATCTTTGAAGCTTAAGTCCAATACTAGTAGATGTTTGCATGCCAATACGAATCTTATACAATCCAGCCATGTGCCCTGAGGAAGGTTGGGAGAATAAAGGCTTTGGCTCAATGACATTGCAAGCCTACTCTACTTCATGTAAAAAAGAACAAAAAATTGGCTTATATTGCAATGAGGGAAATTTGGGTTGGATAAAAAGAACTCTTTAACAAAGAAATGTTTTTGAATCTTCTCCAAATATCTTAAAAATAGAATAGGCATTAGTTCATTTGAGATGTATTAGGTGTTATCATTCACATAGGAAAATAAAATCAAAGCAACGATTCACTGAGTGCCTAATTCCAGCAAGGTATCACGCTAGGTGTCAGAGGGTACACCAAGGAGTTAGAACATAGCAGTCTGTTACACTTGTAATCTAGCTGGAAAGACGGCTCTCAAATAAGGAAATGAAACAACAGAAGAAACTACAGTTCATATCAGAATTACAGAGATGAGTATCAGTATTTTGTGACTCCACATCCTTATCCTATTTCCACTTTACAATCAGCTGGGAAACGACCTCCTTTCAATGAAATTAATATTCCTTGGAGCACTTTGGTTCACACTCATCCCTTCACCCAGTTGGTGAAGGTGAATTGGAGTCAGGGAAGCTCATATATATGGTTTCCCTTTCATCCCCAACCAGTTTAGTGCCTGAACTTGATCCTCCCAGCCAGAGATCCCAATCCTGCTCACACTTTCCCTTCCTTATATATCCCCTGGCCACTAAGCCCCAAAGTGAGTATGTAGACTTCTGCTGCATAACTTAGGGAAGGATGGTGCATTCCTCCATTAATAATCTTTCCTTTTATCAGTCTTAACACACCAACCTAGCTCGTATGGAAGGACATCTACATTTAGATGTAGTGAAAATTATTTTATTGGGACTCATAAGACGCAGGTACTAATTTTAACTTTACTACCACCTTGCTGTGTAACCTTGAACATTCACTTCAACTCACTCAGTCTCAATTTCTTCTTCTGTAAAATGTTTATTTTTATTTTTTTTTAGGCAATTGGGGTTAAGTGACTTGCCCAGGGTCACACAGCTAGTAAGTGTCAAGTGTCTGGTCTGAGGCCGAATTTGAACTCAGGTCCTTCTGACTTCAGGGCCAGTGCTCTATCTGCTGCGTCACCTAGCTGCCCCCTACTCTTTCGTAAAATGAAGGGATTAAATTAGATTTCTTTCAGGCCCCATCTAGCTGTACGTTTGTGATTCTGATACAGACACAGATCGCACTGCCTCATACCATGATTAGATCTAAGATTCCAGGAGAAGCACCATCTGAAGTCTTGTTTGTTAAGTTTTTCCAATTTCAGGCCTAAGGTGAGCAAAAGGGAGGGGGACAACCAATCAACTGAGGAGCATTATTAATATTAACATATATTAGTTCTTCAGGCTTTTAAAAACTAGTAGCTAAGAACAACATAGAGAAATGACACTTGCTTTGATTGAATTTTTAACCCTGTGTACACAACAAAGATAGCGGTTTTTCACATAGTTTTGATGATAAGTACATCTCTAAACCCTAAACAGAAAATTAATAATGTTAAGAGAATGTGAAAAGTTTTATGAGTTTAATTTACCCAAGGAGTAGCTCTCATCTAGATTATGCTTAACATGCCTGAAATGTGTGCATGGAAGGGCTATTGTACCCTGATCTCAATTTTCTGAAGAATTAAACAAATGAGGGTTGTGAAATGTAGCTAGAGAGAAAAACTTGAGAACTTGATTCTGTTTTATAAATGAGTCACTGACTCCACTGTGCTTTATCCAAAACTTCCTTTCGATTCTAAAAAGTGGGAGTTCTTTGTACATAGGTCCTACACAGGCTGCATGATATAAATTCTGTGTCTTTGAAACTGTAGCATTCTGCAATTCCTCTCTGACTTTGTATACTATCTAGCAGCAAAGAGAAGAACTATTTTCTACCCATCCTCTTCATCACTAAATAAAGTGTGCTGGAATTTTCTTAAAAAAAAAATTAACATATATTAAACAACTATTATGTGTCTGGCACTAGAGATACAAAGACAAAAATTAGACAGTTTGTCCTCAAGGAGCTCACATCCTTTCAAGGGAGAGAACTCATGCAAAATAAATTCAACGTAAACTGGCAGGAGAGGGAGGAAAGTCAATCCTGCACGACACTAGCTACCAGGGAGATGTAGAAAAGCTTTATGGCTTCATGAAGGTATTGCTTGAGCAGAGTTTTGAAGGAAACAAGGTATTTTAAAAGGCAGAGAAACGGGTCGGGGGAGAGAGCATTCCAGGCATGGGAGACAGCCAGTGCTAAGGTTCAGAGACAAATGATCCGTCATGTATAAAGAACAGTAAGTATGCCAATATGGCTAGACTGAAAAGTTCATGGAGAGGAGTAATGAAGACTAGAAATACACGAAGGGGCTAGGAGGTACAGAGCTTTAAATGTAAAACAAAGAAATTTATATTGATCCTAGAGGAAGTAGTAAGACATCGCAACGTACTGAGGAAGACAGTAACATGGTAAGACCTATACTTTAGGGAGATTAATTTAACAGCTGTATAGAAGATGGACTGGAGAAGAGGCAGCTAGAAGAGGTACAATGGGTAGAGTGTTGGACTTGAAGTCAGAAAAGATCTGAATTCAAACTATGCCTCTGACACTTGCCAGCTAGGGTGACCTTGGGCAAGTCACTTAACCTTTTGACTCAGTTTCCTCCTCTGTAAAATGAAGGCATTGGACTTGAGGGCCTTCAAGTCCCCTCTCAGCTCTAAATCTAAGATCCTATGATCTTCTGACTCTATGTGTGGAGAGAACCTTGAGAAAGGAAGACTGATTCAAAGTTACTGCCAACAGTCCGAGTAAGAAGTGAAATAGGGAATTTCTGTTTTGGACACACTGAGTTTAAGATGCCTATGAGACATCCAGTGTGCAATGTTCAACAGGCAAGTTGGTGATATGAGACTGAAGATATGTTTGTCTGTGTGTATTTATACACACACACATACATACATACATACGCACATACACATATGCATATATATCTGGGAACTCTCTGCACGGAGACAACTGAACTCATAGGACTAATGAGATCACTATGTGAGAAAGAAAAAAAAAGAAAAGATGGCCTCGGACAGAGTTTTGAAACACTTCGTGGGTATGACACACAGGAAGATGCAGCAAAGGAGACTGAGACACAGCTAGTTAAGTTGGAGAAGAACAAAGAGGACAGAACAAACCCCAAAGAGAGGACGACCTGGGGGGAGAAAGTGGTCAACACTGTCAAACGTTGCGGAGTTCAAGCTTGAGGGCTGAAAAAGCCACCGGGTTTGATAGTTAAGAAAGAGATATAACTTTGGCGGGAGCAGCTGAATGATGAGCTCAGATGTCATCTTGCAGCAGTTTTACAAGATGAGAGAAGTTTAGATGAGGAGCATAGTCAGCTTTTTAAAGGAGTTTAACATAGAAAGAGGTAGTAGAAGACAGGGCAGGTTTGTAGGCAGCTAGGATGGAAATAGTAAAAAGGGAGATCGATTAGAGGAGGGCAAGAATGGCACAGGATTTATAGGGGATGGAGAGAAGTAAACTCCACTTGAGAGAAGAGGATCCAGGAAAGAACGAAAAAAGAACTAGTCTCCAAGTGCTGAGGGATGGAGTGGCAGCAGTGCACTGAGGAGAAAAGTTTCCTGAAAGGAATGAGAGGAAGAAACAATTTAGTATGAGCTTTTTTAAAAGGAAGTAGGCTATATACTCTTTATATATCAAAGAAGTAGAGTAGATTACAAGCAGGGGTTGTCCTAGAGTATGGGGACTCAGGATTTAAACTTGCAAGGCCTTTAGCAATCATTTACTTATCTAACCTCCCTCATTTTACTAATAAGAACATCGTGACCCAGAGACGATCTGCCTTTCCTCAAAGCAACACAGGCAGCAAGTAGCAGGCCAAGATTTCTAACCCAGGTTTTGATTCCCCATCCAGAAAAGGGTACCTGGAAGTGAACCAAATATACCTGTTCTGATATGAGATGGGGAGTGTCTGGTGCAGCAGGATCCTGGGGTAGATGCATGTGTACATTCCTGTTGTAGGTACTACCTTTGAGGGGGAGGGAAGAGGCTGGGAAAGAGAGCCAGGGACTCAGGGAAGAGAAGGGACTGAGGAGGGAACCTGGAGGAAAGAGAAGAAGAGAAGGGGCAGAGAAAACAGCTTGAGGCACAGAGAAGGACCTCAGCTTTCCTCCAAAACCACTCCCTGCTTCCAAACTTCACTATTACTGACCAGACTAGCAATGTAGTTGTTATCCTTGATTTCTCTTTTATCTTCTATCTGCTAAGGCCCGTCAATTTCATCTCTGCAACATTTCTGGCCTAAATGTCTTCTTCTCTCCTCGGATACTGCCACCACCCAAGTGCAGACCCTTATCACCTCACACTTGGACTACTGAAAATGTCTGCTGGTGGGTCGGATGGCCCCAAGTCTCTCCACTCCAATTCATCCTCCACCCTGCCACTAAAGCTCAGGTCTGACCATGTCATCTCTCTACTCCACCAACTCCAGCACCTTCCTATTGCCTCTAAGATCAAATACAAGATGTTGTTTGGCATTCAAAGCCCTTTCTGATCTACCCCCTCCTTCCTTTCCAGTCTTCTCACACCTCACTTCCCCCCATATAGCCTTTGATCCAGGGACACTGGCATCCCGACTGTTCCATAAACAAGATACTCACAACTCCAGGCATTTTCTCTGGCTGTCTCCCATGCCCAGAATGTTCTTCCTACTGGTGTCTATCAAGTCCCAGCTAAAATGTCACGTTCTATAAGAAGCCTTCCCCAACCTTTCTTATAATCCTGGTGCCTTCGCTGTTGATTTCCACTTTATCTTCAATCTATATATAGCTTATTTGTACACAGTTGTTTACATGTTGTCTCCCTCAGTAGATTGTGAGCTCCTTGAGGCAGGGGCTGGGGTTGGTTTTTTTTTTTTAATGTGTGTGTCTTTCTTTGTACACCCAACGTTTAGCTCACAGTAGTAGTCGCTTAATAATTGCTTACTGACCGACAGACTGACAGGAGAGGGAATAGTGCTTCGCACATGAAGGAAGGGACTTGGGGGTAGTAGCAAAGGGGAGGGGGAAGGAAAGGGCTGGGGAAGGATCCTTGGGTGCTGGAGTGGGAAGAGCTGGGGAGGGGGAGCGGCTCACTCCCTTGGGGTGCAGTGGAGGAACAGGGGGAACGAAAGGGGCTGAGGCTGACCGCGGAAGGGGGTGTAAGGGGAGTGTCAGGGCAGGGAAAGGCTGGGGGCGTAGCCCGGGGTGCGGCGGAGGGGCCTGGGAAGGATAGGCAGAGCAGGGGGGATGATCCTGGGGTGCTTGGGATGGGCACCCTGGGGTGCTGGGGCTGGGGGCCCCGGAGAGCAGCGGAGAGAAGAGCGTGAGGAGGAAGGGGCCGGGGGCTCGGTGGGGGCTCACCTTGTCGGAGTCCAGCTCCGGGTCCTCCTGGCAGCAGAGGCGGCACAGGAAAGACTTGGGCTCCCGGCCCAACGTCTGCCGGGTGGTCACGAAGTACGTGCCGCCCACGTTGAGCCGAACCCAGCGCCCCGCGCCCCCCGCCCGCTCGGGCGGCCCCGGCCCCGGCTGCGACGGCGGCTGCGGCAGTGACGACAGCGCGGAGGCCGTGGCGGCGCGGCTGGGCGGCCGTGGCCGCGGGAGGAGGCCGTGGCGGCGGCGGCGGCGGCAGAGGAGGAGGAGCTGCGGGGGCTGGCGCTGGCCGGGCCGCGGCAGTCCCCGAGGCCGCCCCCTCCCCCCGTCGAGTCCACTTGCAGTTCAGCCATCTTGGACCCTTCCTGCCCGCGCATCCCCGGGCCGGCCCATTCCCATTCCGCGGCGGGGAGAGCCAGACCGGCCCAACCACAGGGGAAGGAGGGGGCCGCGCAGCCTGCGCCCCAAGCCGAGCCGGAGACGGGAACTCCCCCACTCCCTCGGGGGGCGGGGCCTCTGGGACAACCCCTCCCCCCGCCATTCCATTGGTCTCGGCGGACGGAAGGCACGCCTCTTCCGAAAAGGGATTGGCTGGAAGGTGATTTCCGATGACGCTTTTCCGGCTGCTCTCTGCCCAGATCTGTACGCTGCCGGGGTCGGTGAAGGTGAGTTGGGGTCGAACCTTTGCCTTCTTTACTCTTTGCATCTGCTCGCTTTGGCGCTTGCAGCCTCCCCTTTCGGCCTTCCCCATAACACACCGGTCCCTGCCCCCCACTGTGCACACCGGGGTCTCTGTTTGTGTCTCGGGGGAGGCCGGTGCACTTCCCCGGGATTCGCGGGCTCCACCTGTCAGCCAGGAGCCGGGGACAGGGGTCAGTTAAACCTCACTGCTAGCAGTCTGGGGATAGCTTCATTTGATGTGTGACCTTGGGCGAGTCCCTGCTTCTCTTTGGGCCTCATCTGTAAAGTGAGGGAGTGATGATTTGTAAAGGCCCGTTCAGCCCCCGAATCCTATGTTCTTTCCAACTAAGATCCCTTCATTTTGTAGCTATAAGTTTGTCACATGCCTGTGGGCTAAGGTTATTTGAAAATGGAAGTGCTTTTCCGTATTCCCTGCCCTACCCTCATGCTTTGAAGAATTTCTAAAAGTCATTGTGGTAGACGCCTCTCAATCCCAGCAGACTTCTCTTGAACCCATCCAAGTAAATGAAAGACAGAGGAGAATGGAGTGTCCGTCTTTTTTTTTTTCTCCCTTAAAGAGAAACTTCCCCTACCTTACTCTTTTAACACCTGTACTTGTCACTGTGTCACCCTTTCCCTGGGAGGCTTTTCCTTTTATTTGACCTCAGGTCTTCCTAATCTGGTTTAATCTTACTTTTCTCATGTTCTGTTTCCAGAAATGGTCACTTGCCATGTTTCTTCTACCCTTTTGCCGTGGTTGAATAAGCCTTCTTCATAGAATCATAGATAGACACCTAAAATTATTGATAAATATTGAGTGAGTACATATTAGGTAGATAACATAGGTCCAGATATTGTTTCTGAAAAGCTTGAATGACTGTACATTGCCCTTTTTCCACTTAGAATCATTAGATAAAGAGTTTAGTAAGTACTAACCATGTGCTTTATGCAAAGAGTTGGAAATAACACAAAAAGACAGTCCCCATCCTAAGTAGTTTATATTCATTACATCATTATGGGCTCTTTGTTTCTTTTCTGACCCATTTTGTTTTCTTTATTTTCCACGGTTCCAAGATGGCTGGACGAAAGCTTGCTATGAAAGCTATTGATTGGGCAGCATTTGGGGAGATCATACCTAAAAACCAGAAAGCCATTGCTAATGCCTTGAAATCCCATAATGAATATCTTATGACCAGGTAAGTAGGAGAGAATTGAGCTTAATGGGGTCTGACTCTAGACAGTGTAATGGAATAACATAAAAGTTCCATTTCCCTTTCTTCCTGAGAGAAAGCTAGAGTTGATGCATCATCAGAATTGAAGTGTTCATAGTTCTGTAGTCTCTGTTATAGGACTAGATAGTGCAGCATTTCTAGGTTGACTTATGGAAGGGAACAGGAAACATAACATATATACGTTTTCTTTAGTTGCCGTATGTCAGTCCTAACTTTTGCTCTTCTATCTGGGCAGATTGGCTACCCTGCCTGAGAAGCCACAAGTGATCGACTGGGCTTACTACAAGGAAAATGTGGCCAAGCCTGGCTTTGTGGACGAGTTTGAAAAGAAGGTGAGGCTACCATTGAAAACTTTATTGACATTTTTTCAAATTAATTTGTGAGTGGGGAAGCAGGACAACTGATAACAAAACTGTTTAAAGTGCTGGGGATACAAAAGAAGGCAAAAACTCAAGAAGCTCAGCTTCTAATTAGAGAAATAGCGTGAATATAACTATGTACAAGCAAGATATATCCAGGATTGGAGAGAATCCTAGCAACAGGGCACTCCCATTAAGGGAGACCAGGACAGGTTCCTTGTAGAAGGCAACGTTTTAGCCAAGTTAGCCAGAAAACAGATAAGGAGGGAAGCCATTGTCACTGAATTGCAGAGTACTTGAGAGGGGAGTAAGGTTTAAGAAGACTGGAAAGGTAGGAGGAAGCCAGGTTATGAAGGGATTTAAAAGCCAAACAGATGATTTTTCATTTGTTCCTGGATTTAGTAGGGAGTCACTGGAGTTGTGGAGTAGGAAGGTGACATGGTCAGACCTGCCCTTTAGGAAAGTCATTTTGACAGTCAAGGGGAGGATGGTCTGGAGTAGAAAGAAACTTGAGGCAAGCAGACTAATGAGAAGGCTTTTGCAATAGTCCAGATGTGAAGTAATAAGGGTGTTCATGATGGTAGCAATGTCAGAGGAGAGAAGGAGGCATGTAGGAGAGATGTTGCAAAGGCAGAATCAACAACACTTTGCGATAGATTGGATAACCTAGGTTGCAAACCTGGGTGACTGGGGAGATGGTGTTCTCAGCAGTAATAGAGAAGTTTAGGACAGGGGAGGGTTTAGGGGGGAAATGAGTTCTATTTTAAGCATATTGAGTTCTAAATGTCTACAGGATAACCAGTTCAAGATGTCCAACAGGTGATGTGAGACTGGAGGTCAGGAAAGGGTTTAGGGATGGATAAATAAATAATCATCTCTACAGAAATGATAATTGAAGCCACAGGAACTGATGAGAAGACCAAGTAAAGTAGAAGAGAAAGCAAAACATAGGATAGAACCTTGGAGTATATCTACTTTTAGCAGGCAGGCCCTAGATGAAGATCCAACATAAGAGATTGCTCATCGATTTGACAGGTAGGAGAATCCAGGAAAGTTAGAGTTCCACAGTGTCTTGAAAGCTTAGAAGAGTATCATTGACCATCTTCTCAGTATCAAAGGCTATATATAAAGAGATTAAGGAGGATGAGGATTTAGATTGGTAATTAGGAGATCATTGGTAGCTTTGAAGAGAGCTGCTTCAGTTTAATCCTGAGATCAGAAACCAGACTGTAGACGGTTGAGAGAGAGAAGGAAGTAGAAGCCCTGGTTGTAGCTGGCCTTCTCTGGGAGTTTAGTCACGAAAGGGATAGTCTGCAGAGATAGATAGATGAAGGGACTTTTTTGAGAATGTGAGAGACATGAGCATATTTGTAGACAGTAGGAAAGCAGCCAGTAGACAGGGAGAGACTGAAGAGTAGTGAGAGAGTGGGGATGATGGAGAGGACAGTCTGCTGGAGAAGATGGGATGGAATGGGGTTTTGCCTCGGCAAGAAGAGCCATCTTTTCTTGTGAAACAAACGAAGAAGGAGATAGGTTTGAATTGTCTTCAAGTATTTGAAGGGCTGCCATGTGACAAAATGATCAGATTTGTTCTTTGTATTTGCAGGTAGCAGAACTAGGAGGTGGAAATTACAAGAAGACTTTGTCTTTATATAAAAATTTATTTTCTAAGAATTAGAGCTGAATAAAAATGGAATGGGTTGCTTCAGTGTAGCTCATGAGTTCCTCCTCGTTGTAGGTCAGGCATAGACTGCTTGTTACCACCAGAGGTGTTACAGAGCTAAATTCTGCATGGGCTGGCAAGTTGGGCTAGATAACATGTAGGTCCCAGTGCTCTCCAGTACATGACTTCTTGGTTTCCTTCCATCCTGTCTGTGCCTTTATTTTACCTTTGAGAGTCTTGCTTTTGTCTTCCTTTTTAGTAGTCACTCTCCACTGTTTAATTTTCTTAAATGCAGAGGCGTGGTTTTTTTGTGATCATAGATGTAGAGTTAGAAGGGACTTTAAAGCTACCTAGCCCACCTCCCTCATTTTACAGATTGGAAACTGAGGTGCAGTTTAACTGACTTGCCTAAGATCAAACATGTGATTTGAACCCGAGTCTTTCAACCTCAGAGATGGTGGGTTTTTTTGAGAAACATGCCTATGGAGTAGCTGCTGTGAGCCCTTGTCTGGGTTACCAGTTGTACTGGTTGTCACTCTGTCCTTGTGTTTTCAGTTCAATGAACTGAAGATTCCTGTGCCAGAAGATAAATTCACTGCCCTAGTGGATGCTGAAGAACAGGAAGATGTAAGTGCTTAGAGTGAATCAATTTTGTGGAATTTCCCTAAATTTGGTAAGTGTGTGGTATTTGCGTGTCTGGACCGAGGTGGAGTGACCTGAGTCAAATCCTAGTTAGAACTGAATGGACCTCTGTATTCTCCCAAGTTTAGGATGTGGCTGAAATGCTACCCAAATATCTGACTTCTGGGTTGCTTATGTTTCAATAGTGTTGGAGTCCTAAGATCCAGGCATTTGAAAAGTCTAATTATATTTTTATTTGCTATTTCTGGGCGTGTTTTCCTATTTCAAGGCCAGACTACCCTCCACCCTAACTACTGAATAATTAAAATCACTTGGGCTAATCATTTTGTGGACAATAATAATTCACATTTCTATAGTACTTTGAGTTTTACAAAAAACTTTCCTTGCAAAAAGCATAGTGAAAATATCATTCTTAATTTATAAATAAATTTTGTCTGCTTTAGTACTAAAAGCCTGGTACAGGGAAGCTAGGAAACTTATGGCTCAGGGTAATATTGCACATAATATGATTTTTAAAACAATGATTTATCCAATCTCTTAAAGGCAAAAATTGGTGCTGATTTTGTGAAAGCTTCAAATGCTAGGATTGCAGAACTTCAGAAAGAGGTAAATGTTATTCACAGTCTTCTTGCTGATCCTGTTTCCATCTTCCTTCTGTAATTCCTCTTGCCTGATAGAATTCACTGGCCTTTGATTGTTCTCGCTCACTGTGGTTGTACTGTTTATGTTTTCTCTTTTTCTAGTTGGAAAAGGTCCAGAGTATAATTCCTTTTGAAGAGATGACCGTTGAGGATTTCAACCAAGCCTTTCCTCACACCACACTGGACAAGAAGAAGTATCCTTATTGGCCTCACCAGCCAATTGAGAACCTCTAAAATTTGGCCTCGGAGGAAGCTATAGCCCTCCTTTCATATGCTCCTGAAA